CTGTATTCATAGACACTGAAATCACTTTAAAAAACTGTATCTGGATTATTGGCTTCCTTCTGTAAAGCTGTTTTGAAATGAGTGGTTGTGGCTATTATTTCAGTAATCCTTTAACATTCAAGCTGCAAAAAATATTCATTCTAGATGCTGATATTTCATAGGTAAAGCAGAAAATTTTTTTGCTTTCTTTTTTCCTAAACAAAATATTGACAGCCAGTTCTTGAATGGACTACATCCAAGCCAGAGCTTTGTAAGTTTTAAGCAGTGACACCCATGAATTGCACTGTGTAAGACATGGTGGTAACGGAGCTGGTTGACATGTTGTCTCTTTCCCTGGACAGATCTTTGACTGCCCCCGGTTGAAGTTCTCAGAGATCCCCCAGCGACTCACTAACCTCCTGCTGCCTCCTGACCCCATCGTCATCAACCATGTTATCAGGTCAGATAGGCGCAGCTGGGGGGCAGGTTGGGGTCAGTGCTGCTAGGGCTGAGCTGGGCTTCACTCCCTCGTGGCCCCCAGCACACCAGAAGCACACTAACCGAACTTTGCTGAATCACATCAATACATTATCTGACCAATCCAATTGCTGCATATCTATAATGACTGGAGGATTAAAGAATATTAGCGACTGTAATTATTCAGCTGGCTAAACTCAACCCTTACACATTGATCAGTGATAGCCTTTTGCTTGCATTTCGCCCAAGCATGCAGTGTATTTTTAAGTGATAGAGTGTCATACAAAATTTTTATGCCGCCTGAGACTGATCTGAAACACTTCTGTCTGCCTAGTTACAGTAAATGCTTGATAAAATGCATTCAGGCAAAATCCTTGCTGGGTACTGTTTTAATTATTAAATGTGTACGGTCATATAAAGTTCTATAGATAGATACTTTATTGATCCCGTGAGGGAAATTGCAGATAACATGTCAAACAAAATAAATTAATTATGTTTGAATTGCTGAATATACATGTTGTATAATATATTGGTCAGATTTCTATTACAATTGTCAGTGTAACAGAGATGGGATCTTGAGGCAGGCAAGTGTCCTTGAACTCGACACAAGAATAATACCAACACCAGAACTGACTAAATGCCCACGCAGCACAGTACACTGCTCCTGTAGATGTACCTTATTACAGGCCCAGTTCAGCCGGGCTGACTCCCTGTCCATTCTCTTTGCAGTGTGGACCCCAATGACCAGAAGAAGACAGCCTGCTATGACATCGATGTGGAGGTAGAAGACCCATTGAAAGGCCAAATGAGCAGCTTCCTGCTCTCTACAGCCAATCAGCAGGAGATTGCCTCCCTGGACAACAAGGTCAGCCAATCAGAGATTTCACTAAACCAAATAGGGCCAAACAGAAGACATTGTTATGCTCAATGTTAACCTACTTATTGGGACCACCACATTTCTACAGGTATTACAGATACTGTACAGAAACAGGTCATTCTTAGAAATACAGATAATCCTGGCTAAAAAAAGTCATTTTAGGAGCTCAGAAATTCTTTGCATTCCAAAACTGTATCTTAAAGCACTCATCTGTCATTAACATTTCCAAAAGAGAGATGTCAAATATTCAGAGGTTATTAAAGGGTTAAAATTGTATTGGAGTCCATTTAATGTTGTTAATCTTGTTTAGGTTATAGTTGTAAAAAAACATTAAAAACAGATAAAGATTGAGAGAACAAATATGACATTGCACATCACTAGATATCATCACTAGATGACAGTATGTACACACTCAAATTACTTTCATACTTTCTGAAAGATGCAGAAGTGTTATAACTATGTTTTGGGATGGTTCTTACATGTGTTGGCATTATCTATGCTATTAATGAAATAACACACATACATATGTAAAATACCTGTAATGACACTAGAAAGTTAATGAGACTGAAGACATTGTAACCTGGGGGGTCCAAGTTTTATCAAACAGATGTGAACTGACTCATCTTATCCCAGGGTATGCAGTCATTCAATTGATGTATCTACTGAGATACTGTAATTGGATGTTCCATTCAAATGTTATACATCTATTGGCAGAAATCAGAACGTAATTTTAAAAAATCAAGTCTAGCAGTAGAAAGATGAAAAATTTAGCATCTCCAGAAATGAGAGAAAAAAAGTTTTAGAAAGAAAAAAACATACACAACTTACTTTTTAAATTGTTTTCCACTCACATACATACTTTTCTAAATGGCTTTTAAACAAACATCTTTGATCATTTTCTCTCCTTTACGGTCACCTTAAACTAATTATTTTCTGTCACCCTCTTTATATCCCCTCTAGATAATATTTTGAGAAGGTGTGGTTATAATTCACACACACCTCTAGCCCTACAAACACCAACCTATCTCTCAAGATTTATATCTGTCATTCTCCACTTGCTCACCTTGTAATCAAATCTATCTTCAGAGGTTTCTGTGATGTAAACTGCAGCTGTAGTGAATCCTAGAGGTCACTTTTCATGACTGAAGAAGGCTGGTTCTTCTGTGACAGGCACTACCCAACTTAAAACTAGAGGTTACAAAAAGTGGTTAGTGTCACAAATCCGTATTTTAGTGAAGTTCTGTTTACAAAAGGATTGGACACTATCGGAAAGAGGAATGTATTGTTACCTCACCTTCGGTATTATTTTAGCCTTGCTATTGAAGCTTGCTTCTCCCTCTGCTGTACCTTTCCCAGATTCATGAGACCATTGAGTCTATTAACCAGCTGAAGATCCAGAGGGATTTCATGCTCAGCTTTTCCAAGGATCCCAAAGGCTACATCCAGGACTGGCTCAAATCCCAGAGTCGAGACCTCAAGGTAAGTAATGGATGTGCACAAGAAGTTTATTTTAATGAGATTGTTTTAGTACAGAGAGGAAGCAAAGTGTAATGGTTAAGCCTTTGGACTCATGACTGATAGGCTTAGGTTTAAGTCCCTGCTGCAGACACTACTGTTGTAGCCTTCAGACAGATACTTCATCCCAGTTGCTGCAGTACACCCAGCTGCGGGCACCAGTATTGTTTGGGGCAATCCCATCCAAGGCAGAAATCATGTGCTCTTTAGTCTGCTTAACACAACAGAAACACCTAGTAGCCTCTTTGACTCTGGAGGGAATCTTTTTGTAGGAAAAAACAAATGGCTTTTTGGTAGACTATACGTGAGCAGCAGTTTAATGAGCGCATGAAGGTCTGACTCTACGTGAATTAAATACATGATGTATTTGATGATGATAATAATAATAGTAGTAGTAATAATAATAATAATAATAATAATAATAATAATAATAAAATACCATTACTAGATTGTAATAACCACAGTTGTACAATCACTGTTGCATGATACCTGTTATACTTAAGCATGGAAATATATTCAGAATACCACAGTAAAGACAGTAAAAACAGACCAGAAACCAGCATGATATTGTGAAGATGCCTGCTTGTTGCATTGGATACAATCCAATTGTGTTTCTACTAACGACTCTCAGAAGGCTAAGTGATTCTGAAACTGAGGAGTGTGCTGCTCTGAGTGCTGTCCTGTGATTGGCTGTAGGTGATGACAGATGTGGTGGGCAACCCTGAAGAGGAGAGGAGGGCAGAGTTTTACCATGAGCCCTGGTCCCAGGAGGCAGTGAGCCGCTACTTTTATTGCAAGGTATTTTTTAACAAGGCACAGCATCATTTGACACTGCAGGGATATAGATCCCCTCTGTGTCTCAGGGGATCCACACCCATTTATGTATGTATTTCCCCCCGCAGGGCGTATGAGGGGGGAATAATGGGGGAGCAGCTGTACTGATATCATGATCTCAAGAGTTTCCACCTCTCTGCCACCCAGAGGTTTTACAGGACCAAAGGCAGAGTAAAATAGCAAAAGATTTACCTTTTTATAGCATTTAAGTAATGGGAATAGCAGTTGGTTTTGTAGTTTTGTAAATTCAAGACTAATAAATGGAAGCCAAGATGCTATATTCCTGGCTTTAATGATGTATCAGTGCTTCAGATTTCTCTTGGCTCCACACGCCAAGAGGAGTAGGCATTCTTGCCTCCTCCGTTCATTTCCGTTACAATTCTTTCATCTGTCGTATTTCAGTGACCACCAGCGGGGTGCGATATGTAAGCATCTGTGATTATGCAATGTAAGTTTTGGTGGAGGGTGGCATGGTTGCACAGTGGTAACCATTGTGGCCCCGCAGAGCTCGGACCTGGATTCAGTTGCTGGGGTGCTATCTGCGATATGCCCTGCGATGGACTGCCGTCCCTATCAAATCCAGAGTCTGTCCCGCCTTGCACCCAATGCTTCCTGCGATAGCCTTTGGACCACCGTGACCCTGACTTGAATAGGCAGTTCCTGAAAGTGCTGAGATGATGTGATGCACATGTTTCATGGAATCAAATGAAGGGCTGTGAAAGTCAATTAAATAGCTTCACTGATAGTACAATCCCTGGGTCATTTGGGTCACAACTCTACAGTTTCCTATATCAGGGATAAAGGACAGGCGCTGATCTTTCTTCCTTTTCTACAGATCCAACAGCGGAGACAAGAGCTAGAACAAGCCTTGGCCGTGCGCAACACTTAAACCCTTTCCCCAGGGAAACAACGGTGTGTCTCCCCTAGCCCCTCTCATCTCTTGTGCCCAGTTCCTGCCAGAGAAAGTCTCCCTTTTTTGTGTAGTGACCTGCTGTGACCTATGATCAGTGAGAGGTTTTGTGTGTCCTCTGTGCCTGTTTGTCCTCCTGCCACACTAGGATAGGACTGTGCCAGGTCTCCCTAAACCCTCTCTCCTCTCTCAGACTTTGCACCCTATCGCCTGACCCCCAATATAATGGACTGCTACTGAACAGGCCTTACCTCCTTTGATTTCATGGTTCCAAACCCAAGTTACAGTTAATAAGTGTTTTTTAAAACTGCCAGCCTACAGTAGGGGCTATGCTTTAGCCATAAAGCTGATGGGAAGTGAAAGCAGTGTCTGTATATACTGTACAGTTCATTACTTCATTAGGTTCAAAACACCGTTCTTTTTAAATACACTTCCTGAAGCATTCTGGCCAAAATTCTACTGGATGAAAAATTATCTCAGCTCCTCAAGATGTCTGTACAGAGGCTGTGTTATAGTGGCTGCAAAACATTTTATGGAAGCTGTCGTGTGCTTCACACCAGAGAGCCAAGGTCGCCAGACTCCTTTTACAACATTCATGCCTGTGAGTCTTATACTTTCAGTACTAACTTCTCAAAGTAGCCTTGCTGTCCTGTACTGCACCCTTAAAAAGTCTTCTCACTCCCTCAGCTTCACATAGACGGCGTCACCTACAGTTAGTAAATAGCTAAATGAAACTGGTGTTGAGTACTTCTGACAGCCGTCTTCAGTGTTATGAAGAAATTTCTTTCTGATTTCTGCTGTTTGGAACTGAACTGTGAGCAGGACCACGCAACCTTTGAAATTATGATTTTACATTTTTATTATTTTTATTTTTCAAAGTTATTCTTTGGTTTAAGGACATACCTCAACCCATATATTTTGCTCCAGTTTGGAGAGAAACATATGTTAAATTATTACACTAAATTTTGTTTGCTAAACTAATGTTTAGTTTGTAAACTGCTGTTGCTTATATTTTTTGCATTTCTCTTTGTGTGTAGACAAAGAAAATGTTTTCTGAGTTTTAATTACTACTTAAGGAAAGTTAAAGCTATGAACACAGGTACTGTTGTTTTGGGTATTGCTGCATTAAGGTGTCTAGTGATTCTGGAATCAGAATTCCAGCCTGCATGACTCATTTGCTATTATTGTGGCAGGACCACCCAGCTCTCACTGTTAGAATCAGGACACATGCTCCCTTTTCACACTTGGCACTGAGTCACCCTTCATGTTTTTTTTTTCAGTTCTCTGCAGCAACAAAAGTGCCAAATTGGCCCAGAGGTAAAGACTTTGAGTCTTTTCATCTGCAGTAACAGGGTGAGGGGTAGTTAGATCTAATATGTCTTTCAATCAGAAGTACAGGCTTGCTTTTAGTTACCAATTAAAAAAAACAGGTTTGGTTTGCAGTTTTTTAATATGTTCTCTTGTATACAAAGGGCAAAGAATGTTCAGTTTTTGCAGTTGGACACTTCAGATGATATTTAGCTTTTCCCTTTTAATCATGCATCTGTGAAAACAAAGGGACACTCACTGGTAGTCTGAGTAGATGTTCTTTCCAGAGAAGGCCTGGTTGGAATGTGTTTTCACATATCTATGGACTGCTTGGGGAATTATCTTCCATCATTGACCTCACACTCTCAGTTCATGGAAAACTTGGTACACCCACACATCTAATACATGTCCAGTGGTTTCATTAACAATCAATACTAATTACAAAATACAGTAGTACATCTGTATATATGAGTACTTCAGTTATACCCGAGTATAGCTGTGCTATTTATGAAAAGTCCTCTTCTTGCCTTTAATATTCAGTTATGCTAAGAACAGTTGTGTAACAGTTTTATTTAAAGTACCAAAAAACACATTCCATTAAATCAGCAGCCGTGTTTTAGTTGCTTTTTACTGTGTAGAAGTCTTTTTTAAAAAGTGGGAACCGGAGGCTCTTTTATGCAAAGGATTGTGGGGGTTGGGAATGTCTTTCGAGAAACAGCTGGAGATATTCTTGGATTCTTCCAAGCAGTAAATGTGCCAAATGGCCTCCTTCTGTTTGTAGACATTCTTATATTTTCTCACATTATTTTTCAAATTCTGCAATGTAACATTATGCATAAAAGGTAGTTACCCAATGTATTGTAATTGTGCTCAGATTAAGTGTTTAAAAATTAGCTTTACCAATAAATATACAATATACAATATTTCTTAGCATTACTGAAAACTTCAGCTGTGGAGAAGAGTCTTGCTCGATTACAAAGATTTCATAAGGGGTAACAAAGCCAGCCTGGATTAAAAGGTGTTTGCAAAGAAAAGATTTGTGAGTCTGGAAACCTTTATCTACAACTCCTAAAACATTTCAATACAGGAAAAAAAAAACATAAGTCTCTTGTCATTCTGTGTGAAGAGGAAAAGTGTAATGATGGTCACTGGGAAGGAGCAGAGGTTCAGTTACTGTAATTGAACCTTGACAGTTGTTTTAATTCCGATTTTCCCTATATATAGCCAAGCTTATGGCTCATCTGGACTGAGAAGAAACGCAGTTATAGACATCTAGAACTTTATACATAGTCAATAAAAAAAACAATATTTGTTTCCTTTCTAAAGATTCTCTACTTTATCACTATGTTGACCTGGTTTCTGAGACACTTCAAGGTTTCAGATGACATACATGATATGCTGTGAGGCCAAATGCTCATCTGGAGAATTGTTTTACATTTTCAATGGCTCAAGGCAGCACATTCAGAGCTGCAGGGCTGTCTGTCCTGGAGGTGCTGTAATTACTGTTGACCACAAGGTGGAGGCAATGACATCAGCTGGCCTTGATTCCTAGCACACCATTTTCAAAGGCATGCTCATGTCCTTGCACCAGCGAGCCAGCCCATTTCCGTCAGGAGCAGGTGCTATTCTTCCGGCTTACTTACTGCTTACAACGGTGTTTTGGCAGTGGCCATTTTACCCCTTCTCACATTTAGAAAGGGATTCTGCTCATTTTATCAAAGTGAAAAAATAAAATCAAAAATATATCCCGGGAGAAAACAGAACTACATTTTGTATTTGGAGATGTGATAACCTATTCTTCATCTGTGATATGACAGGTTTATTCGACAAAGTGTACTAGCCAATAGAGCCTGTAGACCTGGGAACAAAACCTGCCAAGGTCACTAGGTCTCATTCTTAATAGTCCATATCAAAGTAACACATTAAAAACAAATGCCTTACAAGGGGTTGGGTATTAAATGAGAGGCCTAGGCACTATTGTTTCACCCTGGGAGCACTGGGGAGGAAGGTCGACCGAAGAATGAGAGTCAAAAAGGACTGGCTTATATTTAGCTTCAGGGCTCTGGAGTAGACTGCTTTTTCTGTGGATTGAAGTGATTTTGTGTTTGTGACAGTTTATTAACGGAGACACAAGCTTAAGCTTTTGTCCTTTTGGTGCCTGTGACTTGATTCTGGAAGCGTTAATTCAGTAGGTGTTTGATTTAGTAATGACTTTGCCTGAACTGGAGACTATCTGAACATAACTAAAGGAGACACTGTTTTAAAGCAATTTCTACTTAGAATTTACCTCTTCCAGAAATTGCTCCTAGAGAAAGGTCTGAAAGTAGTTCATAGTTTCATTGAGGCTTATTTTTTGTGTGCCTTTAAAAGACTTTTACTGACTTGGCTTTGTTCATTTTAAGCTCCCTTTACCTTATAATCAAATACCTTTTTGTAAAATTCACCAAACTCCATGGCCTAATATTAATTCAGTCACATTCTCAACCTGTCGGTGTCTTAACATGCCGACTTTGTTCCTGCAAACCCCTTTTCTTTCTGAACACCTAGAACAGAGCCCAGGAGGACTCAAAGAATGTGCAGCTGTCCTGGTACACAGTGGGGAGTGGTTGCAGTTAACACAGACACTTGGAATATTAGAGGAAATTCTGCCTTTCTAAAGGAGGACAGAATACCTCAAAAGCCAAAATGAGGACTCATCTGGCTTTTCATTTTCTTTTTGTTTTAGTTTTTTTATCAGTGTCTGCCTTGCTAAAGAATTCCCCATCAGTTCCACTAAAAACAGATGTGGTCATCAGTGTTAGAACATATACAGCCTCTGTAAGCTGGCAGAAATAAAGCAGTCTGACCTGACCCCCCCACTGTTCTTGTGTCAGTGTTTGGCCTCTTGATTTTTGAAGTTTTGGTACGTGTCACTGCGTGGAGCCTCCAAGCATCACAAGACGTGTAATCTGTTCATCTTCATGTGGCTTTAGCGCAATAAGGACCAAACCAAAGACTGTTGCTGGTGGTTGAAAAGTCATGCTGCCTAAGAGAAAAGCATGTATGATCATGACACTGTAAAACTGAGCCTCTATGTTTTTTTGTACTTTTTGTATATTTACCCATACTAGGTTGTGTTATGTGCATTTGCTTTAAAAAAAGGGAACTGGCATCGATCTTGCCTCTTTTGGTGTGACTGCACTATACAGTAGGCAATTCTATCTGATCACATCTGAAGTTACCATCTGCACTTCATTGCTGTACATTTTGAGATAAACAGTAGTTTTGCATTCACAAGGTGTATGTTGGTGCTTAAACAGAGAAGGAAAAGGCTGTGTGACATGTCATGGCCTAAAAACAGCCGTTAACACTTTTGTTTTCTTATCATTTTGTCACTCGACTTTTTGAAGTGCAACACACACAGAAAAAAGACTCTCCAGTGTCAGTGCGAAGGGTGTTAATGAAAAATAACACAAGTGTTTCTTCCTGACTATGTCTTGTTATTGGCTACAAACTACTAGCTCCCACTCTATGGGTCAGTTTCAACAGCTCAGAGTCTGTCTTGTAAAACATGTCCTAATGGGAATTTCTATCAGTCTATCATACTGTTGAACTACTGACAATGGCAGAAAATATAGTTTGTCCATTGTAATTCAACATAAGTATGAGGGAGTTATTCCTGTATAGCAGTACTATTTGGATGTGCATTACTGCCACGCTGGCAGTCTAATAGAACAATTTCACCCACTGCAACCCTCAGACGTATGAGGCAATAAGGTGCCTATGAATGCATCAAGGAGAAGAACAGCAATCTAGCCCACACTGTGCTTAAAACAGCTCTGGCACAATAACACCAAATACACCCTTAAAATGCACTCAGCCTTCTAAAAACACAGTGCATTCATGGTCTGCAATGACAACGGACCATTTTAATTATCACATGAAATCTTTCAAAAGTTGTTTGTCATTCGAACCTAGGTGCCAATTTGTACATTCCTGTGTACACTGATGTTATTCAAGTTGTGAAAGTGGGTATGGATTTCATTCTGCTGTTCTAGAAGTGCTGAGCAAAACTGTTTTATTTTTTTTAAATCATACAGTATAATCTATTGAGAAAATACAATTTTCCTTGCCAATTAGCCATGGAGGCATTTTTAATATGGAGAGTGGGATGCAAAGAACTGAACTCTCCTAAGCTGGCCCCCTGGGTTCTGAGACCTCTGAGATCAACACCAGATGTGGGCATTGAGAATTAAAGGAATCTTCATTGGAAAACTGCAAAGCAAAACGTTAGCTTGCTAAACTTTCAGATCAGTTCATAAAGAAAGGGAAAAAAATAAGTTATATTTGAAAAAAAGTATTTTAGGTGTAGAGGAAAGACGTCAGGAAGGAGCTTGTGTTTATTACAGAAAGCTGCGCACCAGAGTGCACATGACACTGAGGGGTAACAGTAGTGGCACAGTAGTGGCAGGAGTCATCCCCTGGGGAAATACATCAAGGTACTGCTTTGGGACACCAAGGTAATCTACAATTATCAGTAAGAGGAGGACATCTGGGTAAAGTGGGACTGGCACTGGCCTTTGCCAGTTACCAAAGCGGAACAGTGTTATAGCGTCTGAAGATTGCCTTGTTTTGTGTTTCTTCTGTTTTGTCTTTTGTTAGCCTTATGCGCACAAATGTGTTCAAGAGGGAGGTGCCTCGACTGCTGCTGGTGCCTGATTGTATTTCGGAGTCTCTGTGTGCGTGCTTGTTTACGCTGTTTTCATGTAACGGTATCCACGTAGAGACATAGAATCGTTTTCTAAAACTTAAAAATGTCTGTGAAATGCGACTTTTAAAACAAGAAAACCCAAAGCTGGTACTGTAAATGGTGGAAGATTTTCTTTTGTAACTATGCATGCCGCATGGACATGTTTTTTTTTAATAAAAAACGAAAACAAAATACTTGTTTTCATCAAATGAAGGAAAGAATGAAGGGAGAATTATAGTGGTCGTCGCTATGACAAGGAGCCTGGGGAATGGACATCTATTGGACTTTGCGACTTGCAAGCCAATGGGTAGTGTGTTGTTGCTGTAAAATGGAATGTTTTGAAAGAAAGTCAGCTTTAATCCAGCTAAGAGGCCTGTTTTTAATTAAGTCCATACCAGCTGGCAATCCAGAATATGCATCAACAATTGTGGAGCACACCACACTAATTACTTTTGAACACTCAACTTTTGAGTTAAAAAGTTAAACTCCTGATTCACAGGAGGGAAAGAATGCCTTTGGAAAGACCTGCGTTGTACTTTCATTTGCTGGATGAGGTCATGACTTTGTCTTTGGTTCTGTGAAGGTCATAGTTTTGTTTGTACCCAGACAATTTTGTTGTACTTGACCAGCAGTGGCTCATCTGTGACAAGGCTGCAACCAAGGAACTTATGTTGGCCTCATGGTACTGATCCAGTGCGGTCAACTTTACTGCCAGCTACTGGCACTACTAAAACATACTGTGCACTGTTAGTTATGAAAAAGTAAAGCAACATATCTCTCACTAAGTACAGATGCAAGGCTTGACTTTCAGCTGTAAATTATTCTTGACCAGAAAGATGAAAGCCAGCTGCCATGAACACCAGGTTAAATCTTCCCTTCATCACAGTGGCTGTTTATCAAGGTGGTCTAACAGTCCTGTTCTGTCTGCCTGGAAGATAAGACTGAAAAAAGTTCCTGAACCCCAGCTTCTGGACAGTACCCGTCTTTTTACTGTGGGACTCCTGAAATGGAGAAACAAGGGAATCTGATTCCCTCCGACAGCTTCCACCACCCCCAAGAACCCAGGACTCTAATCATGTACAGCGCCTTTATGTGCAAAGAAAGAGTTAAAGGCGCTATATAAATCTTAACTGTATTATAATTTAATTGTACTAGGACACTGTGGGGATCAAGAAACGTTGTGGGTGTGACTTGCTGAGACAGTATGGATGTAAATGAAAGTAGCGTTTGCCAAAGCTTGTACCTGCAAGACTGTCTAGGTTTTTTTTTAATGTGTGTAACCCTCTGGCTTCATCTGAAGTGGTCTGAGAGCCTGGTTGACTTCAGTGAAAATTACTTAACCTGCCTTCTCTTTTGCATCATGGTGTTGAGATCAGTTGATCACTGATTTCATGTTGGTCAGTTCACTGAGGTCTTCCTTGCTTTCCTGTCCACCTCTGCCAACTTCAAAGTTCATTAAAAGTGACTAAAATGCTAGACTAGTCCTAATTCTTCCTTTGTTGACTAATCTAGTGTAAATTGGTCTGTTGCATAAAACTACAGACATTTAATGTGTAACCAAAAATGTTAATGTCTCCTCTAGGCTGATGTGTTTACTTGTGACTATTGTAGCAGTTCTGAAAAATAAAACACTAGTCTAATCATGATCTCAGCATCCAGTGACTTTGGATGGCTCCACTCTTAGCTGAAGGATGCCCATAGGAAAACATGAAAACTCATCAATTTACTATAAGCAGCAGTGGTGAAAAATTCTGGTTCTCGAAAGAAACAAACCAGTGTGTGGTTTGCAGGGTCTGTTAAAATAACATTGGTCCCCTATTGGAAAGACATACTGTATGTTTGGTGTAAATTAGACGATGTGGTTACATTCAGAATGGAAGGCAGAATGAAAATAAGGTAGCAGTCTAATTTGGGACTTAAAATTGTGAGTGCTGTTTGTTTTCTGGGCCTCCCTCAGGTTTAGTGTGATTTAGAAGGGAAATCTGTAACAAGACCAAAAAACATTTTTAAAGTAGGAGACGTCATCTCCTGTCCTTGATAGCTATGACAAGTATTATTAGTGCATAAAAACTCAGATAATGGGATTAATTCAACTAGTATTTTTTCCAGCACATGAGTTCTGTGTATTGCATACAATTTTTCATCACAGATTAAATTTGATTCATGTGCTGTGTAACACATGTGGGAGGAAATATGTCGTCTATATCCACGCAGTATTTCAGTTATGCAACTGAGACCATATGGCCATCAAGGACTGGAGCTGAGCCATCACAACATTTCCAATCAGTGTTAAGAAAGAAACATGTCCTTAATCTTGCAGGAGTGTGTTTTGTTTCATGCGAAATGTACTGGTGATCCAGAACTGATAATGTCCTGCTGGTTGTAAAAAAATAATGAAAATAAACCATTTCTAGGCATCAATTACTTGTTTTCCTTTTCTACTATCATCCTTTTCTGAAGGCACTCCATAACATTTTTTTAATGACAAGAAAAAGACAGTTTGTATACACATTTTTTCATGGCAAACAGCCATAGTAGTGTACAGGTACCTGCCTGTTGTTACAGAGCTTAATATCTACTCAAGGTATTTTTTTTTTGTTTTATAATGCTATTGTGATAAAGATTTAATGCATATTTTGAACTGTATAATGAAGTAATTATGATAAGTGACTTTCAAGTTCAATTTTGAGTTGACTCAATTGATACACTTCCAAGATGTCCTTGTGTTTTAAAACTTTTGGTAACTTAGTAAAACATTTATATGTTAATATAGTAATTTTCATAATTCAGGGGGTTGTCGATTTAAGAAAGCAGGTGATACCTTTTTCCAGTGAGAGAATGCAGAAGAAAATCCTGCCAAAACAAGGAATTACTTTCTCAGAATGACTCCTTTCATGGACAGTACAGTGGTGAAGCGGTTAACATTGCTACTTCGCAGCACGGAGGCCCCGGGTTCAAGTCCAGACCTGGGGTACTATCTGCGTGGAGTTTGTATGGTTTCCCTGTGTTCCCATGGGTTTCCTCTCAGGTAAGCCTTCCTCCCATAAGACATACTGGTAGATTCAGTGACTTCTAGGAAAATTGGACATGGTGTGAGTGCATTTGTATTTGGTGTCTGCAACTGCTGTCTGATGGATTGGCATCCTGGCCAGGGGGTACCCTGTCTTCCATCCGTTGTTTGCCAAGGCAGCGAGCACATGGCTCCCCCATGACCCTGAATCCAAAGAAGCAGCTAGAAAATGGATGGATGCATGTTTTTATCCCCCAAATTGAAACTTGCCTACCTGCTGAGACCATAGACGAGTTTCATGACCTTTTTCCTGCATCCTAAGTAACTGTGAGCCTGGTTAAGAATTTTGTGAGCTAGCCAAATGAACATGATGGTCTGAACATGCGGTCTTTAATAACATAAAAGGCTAAGGATGTAAATAACTGAAAAGGGCAAGTTAAAATGAAAAGGTTAATGAAAATGTTAAAAAGGTTCTGTCAACAACATTAGACAAACCCTTTTACTGATAAGGAATAATGTACAGAACCCTCAAAGGAATGTGATTTCTTTGTTCCCCTGCACAGTGAGGTAACAATGTCATAAATTAGGTAGCACATTTTAAAAAGACATACATTTACAATAATGTACAAACACAAATTTAATGACGTCATTCAGGTGGGTAGCTGTGTCAGCATGCGTAGTCTGCAAAGGAACAAGTAATAGGTTTATTCCATGCTGAAAAGAGAAGAGAGAAAACACATTGTTCAGGTGTGAGAAAGACAGAGCAGACAGCAAAGATTAAATAGCACAGAAGAACAAAAGCTGGGAGAGGGAAGAAGGCAGGAGAGGCAGAGAGGCCACTCAGGAAGTGCGAATTGCAGCAGGGTGAAGAAAGGTGTGAAGTCAAAACCTGCATACGAATAGAGAAGATTACATGGAAATAAATCGGTCATCGAGAGAAGGGGGATGGTGTGAACCTAGTTTAAGGATGAGTTTCGTTTCTGTTGTTTTTCTGCTATGGGAGTTGAGAAACCCTTCTTTGAGAACAGAGACAGAGAGATCAGTGTGATCGTGGCTGGCTGGGGTGAAATGAGAAACTATTGGCTTGGAGAAATCTTTAATCTTCACAGCCCGAACATGTTCTCTTAAGCGGTCTCCTAGTCTCTTCTTCCAGTTTCCCCAAACTGGGGATAGCTGGGCATTTTTTGTAGGAGATACAGTAAATGAGGTTGCTGGAGGTACAGGATGTCGTCTGTGTGATCCAGAATTGACCTGAGGGACCCTGAATGAGCTTGTTGCTAGATATGTATTTTGCAGCGAGTTCTGTTGCAGGGGAAGGTGCCTGGTGGGGATGATTGCCGAGTGCGGTCAAGGGAGCTGAGAACCAGAAGTTTACATAGATTGGGTGGTCGGTGATATGAGATGATTGGGTGGTTAGAAAAAAGAGTAGCCCTGTAAAATGGAGTAGTTGTTAATAATGGTCCTGGGGATAGAAAGTGTGTTAGTGTGGTAGGGAAGCACCAAAGGAATGCAGTTGTGAGACCGGGAGTTCCTGGTCGAATTGATGAGCTGAGGGCTGTTTTTGGCCCGGGAGAGGGCCCGATCGATAACATGGGTGGGGTATCCTCTGTTGATGAAAAAAGAATACATTTTGAGTGCTTGGTTCTGGAAATTCATGTCGTCCCCGCAGAGTCGACAAATTTAATGACTACTCCTGTTAAGTACAGAGATACAACACGCAGAGTATCAGGGCCTTCTATAGCAACAGGAAATATATCTCAAACCTGCAACTGAGCCAAAAATATCAGGGCCTTCTATAGCAACAGGAAATATATCTCAAACCTGCAACTGAGCCAAAAATACAAAGTAGGAAAAATATTCCCCTATTCCAAATAATGTATCAAAATTTTGTATTGGGTATCACAAATAGGAAATACATATTTTTACAACTAAAAGCTAACAGTCCTTTTATTAAAGCAAAGAATTGCACCCTTCAGTCCTCAACTTACCTGGACATATTTTGCAAGTGTATATTTCTATCTAGATCTAATATTTATGCATTTTCATCATTATATGATGAAAGAACATGTATGAAACGTTATAAAACATGGGGAGGCAATTTGGCTAATCTAACCCATTTAGTTGCTACTAGCAAACTGATCTGAGAGTCTCATGCAGCTGTTATTTAAAATAATTCATCTTCAACAACACAGCCCGATTTCTTATACTCCCACAGCTCTATAGGTAAAAAAGTCTTTCCAGCTTTCAGGTTTAGATACTCTCCCACACAGTTTCCACTTGTCCTCTGGTTTGTGTCTCACTGTTGATTCTAAAGAATTCTACTGTATTGAATTTTGTTCATGTCATAGAGAGTTATGAATACTTGTATCAGGCCCCTCTGTTTAAGGTTTAATTTTTTTTTCAACTTGTTAGGTACAGGAAATTCCTTTAAGCATGGGAAGGTATAATTTCTTCCAGATTCCAATACATATTTTGTAAAGTGGTGACTAAATTATGCACAGTATTTTAATACTGTTCTTATCAGTGTTCTTATCAGTGCACTGTACATGACATCCCTTAAATCCTACACTTTGAACTATAGAGCATAACATTTTGTCTCTTTTATTCCTTCCACCACATTGTCTAGAAGATGTAAATGTCAATAAAAATACATTCATAAGTAGCCCCTTCATAATCAGTGTTTACCATTTTATACTGATAGTTTTGTTTTTACCACCTGCATGTACTAATCTATACTTGTCTACATTAAATGTCACCTGTGATCTGTTGGTTCAGTCTTGAGTGTAAAATATTTTCAAATTTCCTTTCAGCCTCTTATCGAATCCTTCTAATAAAGTACAATTTGCACTAATTGACTCATAAAATCTAGCTCACTGATTTAAATTAGAAAGAGCACTGGTACTCCACACCAATAAGGGAACTAACACCTTATTTATACTCTCTTTTTTATTAACTAGTTCTCAATCTAAATACACATTAACTTGAATGAGAACTAACTGGAATTTGAGAATTAAGTTTTTATGAGGAAAAAAGCCTTCTAAAGATGTAAATAAATCATGTGCTGTCCCATCCATCCATTTTGTAGCCGGTTTTATAATAATAATAATAATAATAATAATAATAATAATAAATGCTTATGCTTATATAGCACTTTTCTGGACACTCCACTCAAAGCACTTTACAGGTAATGTGGACTCTCCTCCTCCACCACCAATGTGCAGCATCCACCTGGATTATGCAACAGCAGCCAAAGTGCGCCAGAACGCTCACCACACCTCAGCTATTGGCGGGGGGGGGGAGAACAGAGTGATGAAGTGAAGGAGGCCATGAATGATAAAGGCCAATCGAAATTTGGCCAGGACTCCCAGGGTTACACCCGTACTCTTTGAGAAAAGCCCTGGGATTTTTAATGACTACAGAGAGAACATCAGTTTTACGTCTCATCTGAAGGATGGCGCCTTTTAACAGTATAGTGTTCCCATCACTATACTGGGACATTAGGACCCACATAGACCGCAGGGTGAGTACCCCCTGCTGGCCCCACTAACACCTCTTCTAGCAGCAACCGTAGTTTTTCCCAGGAGGTCTCCCAACCAGGTATTGACCAGGCTCACACCTGCTTAGCTAGTGGTTGCTTTATCCAATATAGGCTTGTGGGGGAGCCAGAGCCAACTCGAGCAAGCAGCCAGTCCTCTGCATGGCAGACACAAACACAGACATGCACACCAGGCATTCATTTTCCAGAAGCCAATTAACCTACTAGTATGTCTTCGGGAGAACATAAAAGCTCCATGCAGATTGCACATTAGGAATTGAACCCAGGACCCCGGTGCTGTGATGCAGCACAGCTAACCACTGTACTCCTTTGCTGCCCTCTTTCCATACAGACGATTTTCTTGTTTACAGTAGTTTTGTCATTTCAATAATCTTACATGTCATACAAATAAGACATTGGTCAATAATTTCTAATTATTAGTAACTAATTTTGTCACCATTTAATGGGTGGGCAGTACATCAGTAATTTTCCAGTCAATTTAGTACTATGTTCATGGACAATGAACAGCATCTGTTGTTTTCCTTAAGTACATTTTCCTCAATACTTTCAGACTCAGGAAATGTATTTAATTATATATAGAAATACACAATTGCCATGTGGTTAACAGGGGAATTCACGGTGTACATTTTTCAATGTTGTGTTTTCATGCATTGCTTTCCGGTACAAGTTTAAAAAAGCTGGGGGAATCTACTTTCTTATCCAGTGCTACCAGGTGAAAATATTCTGATAGTTTCAAAGAAGGCGAAGCTGTGGTACAAAAGTTCAAGATCAATCGGATATAAGAGAAGGAACAGAAAATTACATAGTCCAACAGCAAACCTTAGTTCCAAGAATCTGTAATACTGGAAACATCTACATGTCATGCCGGTGGACACAAGCAATGAGAGGCATTTGTCTGCTCAACTGAAGCCCTTGATTTTAACCCTTTTTCCATTAAAATATTTAATTATTTCTACATTTCTTATTTTAATGATTTACATAAGGTGTAAAGCAATTTGAAATTAAAATTTAACATGACATGCCTTTCATATTTATATTTTTGGTGTTTTCATTTCTCACATTTGTTTCCAAAGATAATATGACATTTTCTACCAGTCTGAATAAAACACCCCTCTCCCTGTACTTCGGCTGGTTTCTTTGATAATATTTGTAATAATGGTTTATTACTGTTACACATCACTGCACCTCACACACTGCCACCATCCATCCTCTAGAATGGAGCGAGTTTGAAGTAACCCCTTTAAGCATTGCAAGGTGATTAACAGCAAATAGAATGTAGCAAATAGAAACAGCAAAATAACTTTTTAACATAATGTTTTACATAGAATAAACTCTATAGACACTATATTTACTCTTTATAAAACTACTCAGACATTTTGAGATTCATCACCCATAAAGTCAAAACTTTTTTGTAAAAAGAAAAAACCCTCTCATTTTTACTTTTGCCTGATCAGTTCTAACCCTTTAGTTCTCCATAGTAATTATCTTACATTAAGAGCAGAGATATGTAACTCTTAATCTCACTTAAGGAGATGAATGACTAATAGAGTATGCTCAGAAAATAATGGCTTCAGATAACAGGACTTAAAATAAACTTTTAATCATCAGAGGACATACAGAATATGGTTAATTTCATGATTTAACCAGCAATCCCATTTTCTAAATATTTTAACCTTTAGATCTACACACTGCTTATCTGTAACTACCGTAATTTTAAGCCAATGCACTCCTGAGCATGCACTACATTGTACCTCACTGCAGTGCCCCTTAAAAATGTGGTTGTGGGCAGCAAGCCTGCATGGAAAACCACAAAAGGTCTTGACAGAAACTTAAAGGTGCAAAGAAAAAAAAGACTTGATCCCAGGTGGGTCTCTTTTCTACTCTTATAAAGTATTTGACCAAACAAATGCAGCAGGATGTTCTCTCTTTGCTGTGCTCTGTGTTCCTATTCTCCTGCAAGGACTGCGTGCATACAAATCTATTGTCAGAGTCACGGCTGACCTTAACAGTGACGAAAACAGACTGTTTATCACTCTGCTGTTCTCAAAGGACAAGAACCATCCTTACAAGAATCTGGGCTGTATAATAAAGCAATGCTGTTCTCAGAAAAGGAGTATCTTTAACGGGGCTTACAAAGAAAGTTTGTAGGTTCCCTGCACTACGAACCCCCTCTCTCTTCATGTGGGTCCCAGCCTCCTCGTCCTACAGCTAGCACGCTGGCCCTCAGGCAAGCAGGCTGAGCCAAATCTTACTATGAATAAAACAGCCAAGGACTTTGCAATACATTGAACTCTTGGGTGCTTATTCGTTGTTAACATTTGTTAATCAAAATAGTATGGTTCTAGCTATTTATTGCAAGTTGTTAGCCATTTTGAATATATACAGTACATATAGTGTTAGTTATCTAAATAAAAACTTTTACACAACCCGTGTGGAAATGTATACTATTCTTGAGGCTCACTGATGGGGATATACTGTACAGGCCCCACTATGGCCTGCACTCACTCAGTGATACCGCAGTGATACCGCAGCATTATTCAGAGGAATTTTGTGTAACTGACCATCAACATTTAACAACAAACATATGAACAACTTGCTGTATATCTTATAGCTTCTTAAGACATTTCATTACCATTGCATGTTAGGTGCATCGACTGAGTTCAAGAGACAACTGTTTCTTCGAGATTTTTTTACCCTGTGAGCAGATCCAGTCCTTAATTCTAATTATTTTGTGTTTCCAAGGAATTCCACCGAGCTGCAGCATACTGATTAATTTTCTTTTAGCCACTGGCATTGACAAGCTGAGCAAAGTCTTAAAAACAAGTTGTTTATTTATTTTGCTGACATGTTTATACAAAGTGACATGCATTTAAAACTTGAACATATGGGCACTGTTATTTATCTGAGTGAGAGAGGCTTGAATAACCTCCCCGTTATTAGTCCAGAGCCCTAACCACTACTGCCAACACCGTTTAATACTTTTGTTTTTCTAATTCAAATTCCTATTATTTATTTAATAAAAGAAAAGTGGTCAAATCCCATTTGTTTGGATGAACCCACTGTGTCAGTCTAACACAGAGAAAAAAATATTTTAGGATTAATTTAAAATGCCAACCATGTTACCACTAAATTGCTCAAAAGGAAACCGTAGTACACAAAGGGAAACATAAAAAGATCCAAGTTGAGAATTGTTCAGTTCCATGTGTTTTTATTAAGTTTATTCCATCTGTACATCTATAAAATCAAGAGTCAAATGTAAGGAAAAAACATATTGAACCAACCTCTGTTGTTTTCAAAGTTAAACCGCACAGAGACTTTCTGCGGTTTATTTTTTCCTCTATGAACTCCTTCTAGGGAGACAGAAGACGAACACTGTCTCACAGTTTCTTCAACTCAAAATTCACAAGCATGGCAAGTTAATTAACTTGATTATTAACTTGATTATTTAGGCGTTAACCTTATAAAAAGGCTCATTACCTACTCTGATCCTCCAATCAGTCATTTTCTGTTTCCCAGTCAGAGACAGACCCATAGGCATCAAGTACTGTTGGCCTGTTCCTGCTCAAAGAGAGCCATGGCCAGGTGAGAGCGGGAGGCCAGCCCCTCCAGGTTGCTCAGCACGCATCGGTGATAGATGTCTTCACTGAAGCGGGGGTTGCAAACACGGCGCACGTACTTCTGCACCAGTGCGGGCTCAACAGCACGGAAGACGTGCAGGCTGGAGTAACGCACAAAGATCTCGTACACATCCATGCTCTCCAGCATCTCGTCATTGTCCAGGATGTCGGCTGCCATCTTGGTGCGGGCAGCCATGTAATCTGCATTGTAGAAGCAGGCTTCCTCGAAGACGTGCCGGTCGAAGCGCCCATCCTTCAGGGAATCAGCAGCAAAAGAGGACGCGGAAGAGGGCTGCTGATCACGGTACACGATGGCTGGGCTGTACTCCTGGAAGTGGATGGGGAAGAACACTTGCCAATTGCTGATGGCATTCATGCGGCAGCGGTTTAGGAAGTCAGCGTTGACCTCAGTCCACACGCTAGCCAGGAAGAAAAGGGTATCCACGGGGTGTTTCTTCGAGATGATGTCCATCAGCTTGACCTGGGAGGGCACCTCTGTCTTCACACTGATCCAGGGGATCTTGACGTCAGCATAGCGCTTCTCCACCTCTCCAATCATGGACTTGATCCCCGCAAAGATGTCAGCCTGGCTGACCCTCTGGGCATCAAAGGGGTCATAGATGAAGAGGAAGGTGAGCAGCACATTGTCATGTGTGTCCAAAGCGTTCATCACATACATGTCCAGGAAGTTGCTCACATAGTCCTGCTCTCGGGCGGTGACAGGCAGGATGACTTGCACGCGTGTGGCTTCAGTCACATAGGGCATGGGGATGATCTCAATGGAGCTCAGGGGCCGCAGCAGCTCCACGCGCTTGGCGATCACCTGGCTGTGGCCCTTCTGGGTGAAGGCCTCCAGTGCCAGGTCCAAGGTATACTCCATGCCTCGCGTGGGGTCGAAACGCCGGTATCCGTTCAGCAAGCGGTGTTTGCGGAAGCGCACGAGAGGCTGGTAGCGCTCGTTCAGCTGCTCCACTGCCGTCTCCAAGACTGCGCTGACGTCTGCCCGGTCCGCCCCCTGCAGCTCGCACTTGGGCGACCCGTCGATACACGAGTAGATGTGCTCCTCAGTGAAGTAGTCCCAGTTTATGACTTCAAAGCGCGTCTTGGGCTTGAAGGGGGGGTTGATCCCAATGGGCCATGTGGCACCAGCCTTTCCCTCTGGTGTCAGCTCACTCAGGTTGTTGATCTGGACCTGCCGAAAGAGAGAGCAGTTTAAAACACAGGCCTGATTGGTTTAGCATGGTAATCTACCTCTGGCTGCCTTTAATCCACTGTGCCCCGTGTGTTGCTCAGTTAAAATGTCTGCTTCCTATCAGCAATTCCGCATCTCAGGTACTTATGTCTAATGATTTCACCCTCTCACATTGTAAAAATGTTTACAGTATGTTTAAAAAGACAAGGTAAATCTTAACAGCCTTTTTCAATAAAGTTTTTGTTACAATTGACAAATGCATTGAAGTTCAATTGGATTAAGTGCAATTTGTTTATTAGCAACATAGTAGGATGTAGGCAAATAAATGTAATATTTTCTTTCAGATTGGATAAAGAGGCTGATATTTGAATGATACTCTTTAGGGACTTCTTTCTTAGTTTAAATATAACCTGCATAAGAACGTGGGAATCTTCTGGGTTTTGGGCTGTCTTCTGTGTCACTATGTGTTTCTAAGTGTTATTTAGTTATAGTTATAGTCTATAGAATTTGAAGTAATTCACCATTGCCTTCAGTAATAAAGTCAAAGACAGTTTAACTAATGCCTAATGAAACTTCACAAGTGTAAGCATGCACAACCTAATCTTCATCAGAATCTACATTAATATGCTATACTGCTGAGAGAGTGTACAATGTAACAAGCACAATCCCTGTTGTTTCAAATCTGGTTTAGAGCTTGTCGATGTGGCACACAAAGATCTGAATGTCATGAACACACGTGCCAGGCTCTTTAATGATATGGTCTGACCAATCTTTCTAAGGAACCTTGAGAGTCTTTCACAAAATGTACTCTGAAAGGTGCAAAGGCACCATCCTTGTGTTAGTGGATACCATCAGTATCCTGATGGTGGTTGTTTTCCTTGCCTTTTGCAGCCTGTTGAAAACTACTTAAAAATTACTAAAAGCCCCTTTGTCAGCCCTGAAAGCTTCTAACATAAAATACTTAATTTTACTGTGTGGTTTGTTTATTTTTCTACTAACATCTTGTAAAGCTTCATCTGTGAATTGTATAATCACAGTTGTATGGAAGTAACAGAGCAGAGTGAGCAAAAGGAGGTTTTTTTTACAACACTATTACGATTACTTATATTGTAAGGCGTTATATTACAGTAATAGTGTATAAGACTATTGAAAGTGGCCACCAAGCACAGTGACTGTCCAGCTCTGCACAAAGAGTTCTGTTGTTGTACCTTCAGCTCATTTGTGGAGTCTGCCAAGACCAGAATCTTTCTGTTCAAGTCTTTCAGTTCTATTTACTTCTTAATCAGCTATTTCCCAAATCCCTATTTTATTGAAGTGCAGTACATATCACAGAAGTAAAGAACTAGACTTCTTTCATTAATTTTGAACTGCTTTGGTGCCAGTTATATATAAAAATTTACTTAATGCATATTAGCTTTTGGGGAATTTTTTTTTTTTTGTAACACCCACCTACCAGACATCAGCTGCCAAGTCATACACCTTGCTCAATCTCATACTTGTGACTGCTCCTTTTAGGTATAATATCCTGTCAGCTCAAAGGGCACAAGAACCCACAAATCAACTATTCTGTACTATAGTAGAGGAACTAACGCTAAACAATACTTGGTACAAAATCTGGGAAGTGAGCTCAGTACTGATGTGGGCGGAGCGGTGGCTCTGTGGCTAAGGATCTGCGCCTGTGGCTGGAAGGTTGCCGGTTCAAATCCTGCGGCTGGCAGAAGAATCCTACTCCGTTGGGCCCCTGAGCAAGGCCCTTAACCCCAACTGCTCCAGAGGTGCCGTACAATGGCAGACCCCAAGCTTCTCTCCCTGTCTCTGTGTCTCCATGGAGAAAAGCTGGGGTATGCGAAAAGACGCATTCCTAATGCAAGAAATTGTATAGGGCTAATAAAGAAACATTATCATTATTATGTCATGCAGAACAAACACTAGCACTGTGAGGAGAAGGGACTGTAAGTGTTAAGTTCACGTACAACTATTAAGCATTAGAAGAAAAAAACTCCATATACTGTATGTTTATGTGTTGCTTGTTTATATAGTTGTGTAATTAAAAAATATGGTATACGTTTGTGGCTGATAATTACTCTATTACCAAGCTGGACTGCCCTGTATTTCCTGACTTTATGGGATGAAATAATTAATTTTAATCTTTATTATTTGCAACTCTCAGAATCTGAGAGTTGTCTAATTGAATTTTAGTCATTTAAGCCCCCCTCCTAATTTGTAAAACATATATTTATATTATTCACTAATTAAAATCAAATTAACCATAAGTGGCTGTTTTTGCTTTCAACGGTGGAATACTTCCCTATCCCTTCAGACCATTGAACTGGGAGCCTGGGCAAGGAGGAAGCACTTATTTATCTGTAGAGCACAGCTTGTAGTCATTCCAAACGGAAACACAGAGAGCTCTGTGCATCTCAAGATGACCCTGGTGACTGAATGAAATTAGGTTTTTCATTGTGGATAGTTTAATACTCCTTGTTTTAAAAGGAGCTGTAATAGTAATAGCCAGCAGCCATATCACCCTGCAACTCACAACTGGCAACCTGGTCAGTACCTGGATGGGAGACCTCCAAGGTAAAACTAAGGTTGCTGCTGGAAGAAGTGTTAGTGGGGCCAGTAGGGGGCGCTCAACCTGCGGTCCATGTGGGTCCTAATGCCCCAGTATGGTGATGGGGAAACTATACTGTAAACAGGTGTCGTCCTTCGGGTGAGATGTAAAACTGAGGTCCTGACTCTCTGTGGTCATTTAAAAAAACAGGGCGTTTCTCAAAAAGAGTAGGGGTGTAACCCAATTTCCCATTGGCCCTTACCAATCATGGTCTCCTAATAATCCCCATCTATGAATTGACTTCATTACTCTGCTCCTCCCCACTATGGCTGCTATGGCTCACTATGGCTGCCGTCGCATCATCCAGGTGGATGCTGCACATTGGTGGTGGTGGAGGGGAGTCCCCTTTACCTGTAAAGCGGAGTATCCAGCTAAAGCTAAATACACAAAACAAGTCAGAAGATGGAAATGATTTTCACGGGGATCAGCACTGTAACATTTTAAAGGAACGAGAATTAGACACAAGATTGTGTTTTCTCTCTTCTCTTTTCAGCATGGAATAAACCTATTACTTGTTCCTTTGCAGACTACGCATGCTGACGCAGCTACCCACCTGTAAAATTATAATGTTCCCTTCAAGTACAGAGATGGCGGCAATCTCAGATCTCTCCAGATTTTTGAAAATATCAGAAAACAAAGATTTACTAAGATAAACTATATTTCAAAAGGATCCCCAACGCATTGCACACTCTTGACAATATTGTACCTCGGACATGATGGCATTATGCCGCAGATCACTAGGTCTAACCCACTATTATCTAAAAAGTTCCTTATAAGTTGCTTAGCCCTTCTTCAGAGATCATTTTAAGCCATTAAATGCTATATTTGCTAGACTTAGTACACAGAACGATGAATGAAGAGGAGAGCTGCCACGCAAAGCAGAGAGAGAAAGAGTGCGGACCTGCAGCTGCTGTATCTGCAGGTAGGTCATGTCCAGCTCTATCTGGCTGAAGCGCTTGTGAAGACGGTACATGAGGCCTGGCTCCGACACAGGATGCACGGTGAAGGCGTTTTTAAACTCCGGGCTCTCCTCGCGCTCCGGGTCAGCATTCTTCCCCAGTTCAAAGTAGCGGTACTGCATCTCCTGCAGAACAACACAGAGGGAGCACATCGCAGCTTGAGAGAGGCTTCCCGGCGAAACACTGCTCACCCAAAAAGAAACTGTTTTTCGTAACGGGTATTAAACCAGGTTTGTGAAGCTGTCCTCAAAGATCCATAATTCAGAATAAGTCAATTACATACTACTTAATTTACAGCAGCTGGAAGTTCACACTTAAAAAGGATACCAGCCTATTACCTGAGCAGTATGTTCATTTTAGCTCCATAATTCTGACATTGCTGATAGGCTAGTAGTGTCAGCCGCCTACTTCTGTGAATACATATGTAATGCAGTACTAAAAATGGCATCACTCTTGTGAAATGTCAGTTTTGCACACATCACCATCCTGTTTCTAATATGAAACCTCCTCCATAACTGAACATTTCAGATATGCTGCTTGACCTGCTGAACATACAAAACAGTAAACAATAAATAGACTCCAGTCTTCATTTAAAAAGAGTCTTCTGCATTTAAAAAAAAAATCTCTCTAGAGATACATTTTGTTCAAACTCAGCAAGAATACAGAACACAACATGTTTAATTCAGATCACATGGACCTGGTTTTTGTCAAGCAGATTACATCTGACAGATCTTCTTTTTACAGATACATTTAAACAGGAAGTGAGTTTGCAACGTCAAATTATTCTTGTCCTCCAGCTGTTTATCCTTGACAGGGAAGATACAGTCCAGGTGCACATTGCTACACCTACCCATACACCCTCATCGGAAAGCTGACTACTTTGAATTCTATTTATTCTTTTTTTTCTGAGAGCCCTGCCTCTGACACACAGTGTAAATGCAAGTTGACACCTCTGAATCACAAGAGAGGGTGTTATTATTAGTGCATTTAAATCCACAAAGCCAAGCTGTGGTTTCCAAACTTCTGTCATTTGTGCTTAATCTAACTATCAAGAGAGCAGCAAGATCAAGAACTAAATCTTTCAAAACATAAGAAAGGTTACAACTGAGAGGAGGCCCTCTAACTTGTTCAGTAGTGAGTAGGAGTTTACAAATCGATATATATTAACTGTATGTAGGAGATTACGCACATAGAATCAACATAGAAGTTGTTACAGTAAATATTATTGGGAGGGAGTAAATTACATTTTCTCATTTTCTTTTTTTTAAACAGACCAGAACAGGATGACCTGAACAATATCCTACAATTTTTAACCTTTCTTTTATTCTCAAATCTTGACATCTTAAAATCTTGACATGTCTTGATATGTGGTTTGATGCACACAAATGTCATTTTCTGCATACACTGTTACTGAAATGCTGTGGAGGAAAAAGTCAGTTCTGGGTATTTTATCAAATCAAAAACAAATATTCATCTTCCTGTGACCTCTTTGTAAAGCAGATACTTAATGAGCAAACCTTTATCAGCTCAGCCATGACAATGAATTTCTTAACATTTTGATATGGTTCTCATAACACAAAATATGAGAACCTCTCCTGACATTTTCATGGTAATATATAAATCAACAGAAACCATTAAGACAGTGTTCTGTAATCAAATAAAAAAAAGAAAATCCAGTATTTGCAATCACATACAAGCTCTGACACTTGAGTTACAAAGAGGTACAGTTGAAGCCGTGAGCTCAATGCAGGGCTATTGGCGCTGAGAAGAGGTGAGGTCACATCCTTTCACTCTGCTCAATGACATGTGTGTGTGGCCTCATTGTCTGCCTTTTTCTGCACAGGAAAGCATCACAACCGCAGTTACAATATTAAGCAGAGCACTGTGGGCCATCAGGGAGTTTCCTAGAGAGCTTATTAATCTGTACTACTTCAATCATTACATCTTCAAATGTCTTCATGAAGATATGGTGAATTTTTCATATTACTAGTTTTATCAGCCTCTGTTTCCAAGCTTCTTTAAAATGTGAATTCATTCTTTTCCAGAAGGCGGAACAAACACCACCCAGCAAACAAGCAGCTGAAGGCTTTTTGTTTTACCTCAGGAAGCTGGGAGACAAAGCTTTTTATCAAATTGTATTAGCATAGAAGGAAAAGAAGTGTTTCAAGTACTAAAATACAGTAACACAAGTTAATAAATCTCCAGAGCCCAGTGTACTTTACCAACTGCAGTTAAGGAAATTGACATAACTCTTCCACCAGTCATTGAAGACAATGGTAGTACCTACTGTATGTACTGTACTTGAAAATTGCTATTGTATTGTTCAACCATAAGGGCAACAAAACTGTCCCAAGTATGTATAGACCCAGACTGATACATCTCCTATAATTTATATAGAAAATGAAAAATATAAAATTTCTGGTCAGTTCAATATATATAATTATTATAGAATAATTTATAATATATCATTTTTCTAATAAGCTACCATTACCTTTTGCTTTTTCTGCTCCAGACTTAGTTTACTGCAAAGTATTCATCTAGCACTACTGCAGTAATGCCAATGAAAGAAAGTGATGTTATAGTAAAGGATTTGAAAAGCCTCTTTGAGTGATGCCCAGAACTGATCTGAATTGTACTCGTATTCACCTGCAGAATTGAGCACTGATAGCATGCATGAGCAAAATGTATTCTTAACTATAACACAGACCATCATCAACACCTCTGAATGTGTTAAACCAGTATTTACAAATTAAATTGAACTTGATTGTAAAACACACACAAACCTGAAAACCTGGTTTAAAACACTTCAGTAAACCCACATTCTCTTAAAATGTAAAACTGGCAGGAGGAGAAGAAGAATGGTAAAGTGTTAACCTTTGTCACCAGATCAGCGTCCAACTCCAGCTGAGCTAACATATGGATTTGAAAGCAGTTTTCTAGCAGCCAGGGAGCTGAAGGAATTCCAACCCAATCCCCCACCATTTTAACTCTCTCTCTCTTTTCAGAAATGGTCTGTTTCAAATAATCACTTTAGGGTCTCTCAATCAGTTGTTATCCATTACATTCATTTAAAATAATTTAAATACTGTGGTAATTTAAAAAACTTCCAAGTCTGGCCAACAATCTATGGAGACAAGAGTAACTGAAGTAAAAAAAACAGCCCCAGCAGAATGTAGATACACAAGTATGAGCAGTTCTGAAAATAATTTTCATTTAAGTGACCAGAGTGTTCATCCACATTCTCTAGCGGCAAATTAGCCATTTAGGCAGTTTTATAGCCTGAGCTTATTTTGTTTTTAATATGGGCCTGAGCTTTGGGACAACTCTGAAAACAGTGACCATTTCATAATCACCGAGAGCACAATAAAAAGTAATTATGTGGGAGACAACTGGCTGGAGGTTTACAACCACCCATGTCCTGAAACAAAAAGAAGTATGTAAAGACAATAAATTAAAAGGCCTCGGGAAAAGGCCCCTATATCCAGCGTAAATCACTTGTTCCCCAGGTTTCTCCTCAGAATCTTGTAAAACTGCATCACTGTTTCTGTGGAAGTGGGACCTTGTTAGTTCATTACCAAAGGTGACTGAAAACACAATGTTTATTGTAATCTCACTTGGTTGAAGACAGGCTCAGTTTTCCTATAAATCCCTACAATGAACGGGAGCATGTGGGAGGATACTGATGGGGAATATGGACCAAAACCCACATTGTTCAACCCAGCTTTCTTTCATAGAACACCTGGAAGATATCTTTGGATCACTTCACAACCATACTGACCAAATGGCCTTCTCTTGTTTCTAACCTTTCTGACCAAGACGGACATTAAAAGAGATAACGGGAGGGAACGGGACTGTTCGGTGTACCTGGTGCACCTCCACACAGCTGAGCCCCAGGTAGTCGATGATGCAGCGGCCCAGCCACTCATCAGGCCGCACACTCAGGATGTCGTTGCGGCAGGTGTCCAGGTGGGGCTGGAGGCGGGACAGCACGCTGCGGGACAGCAGGTAGCCATATCCGCCATGGCAGTACCGCGCACGCTCCTCCCCACCAATGAACTCCTCGGCCCGGCCCATGTACAGGTCCTGCCCGGCACTCAAGTGCCCCACCAGCTCGTTCAGCCGCTCGGCCTGGGTGTAGGTGTCATCCTGGGCCAGGTAGAACCAGTCGTAGTCGGCACCGAAATGCTGGTGCAGGTGCCGCACCGTCTCGTACATCAGCCAGACGGGCCGGTCGTCACCGTGAGCGACCACCGCCATGCCGTGGGGCAGCTTGGGGCTGCGCAGGCCCGTGAAGAAGAAGGTGCGGTGGAAGTGATGCGCCACCGTGCGGTTCACTGCCACTGCCAGCGTGTTCAGAGTAGCGCGCGAGGTCAGGATGCCCACCAGGAGGCGCTCTCGAATCCCCAGCTCCGTGTGAATGTACCGTGTTCTGAAGAAGGGGGGGGGGGATATAAAACATTAAAAAAAAACATTTAAACTGAGCACTTTTCACTTTAATATGACTACACTCCCCCTCATTTCTCAATCTGAAGCAACCAGGACATTCCAAACCTGCAAGGAACACCAACTAATGAAACACAACTAAACCTCTCAAGGCAGTGAAGCAGGCAAAGTAATATTGAGGATTATGATCTCTGAGGAACTCTAGAGACCAACAATAAAGAGTCTAAAATGAAAAGCTAACTGCCATAAAATATTGGAGACTCACCATAAATAATATATATATACATAGGGCCATAATGACCTCCATTCACTTTTTTTTCTGACGCTAACAGGATTAACACAACCACATTCTGTCATTTCCTCCCAGCAGAAAAAAGCCTCTATTTTTATGATACAAATAAAAACCAAACTGGAAATTTGTCATCCTATTGCTTTGAATGCACATCAGTCCCCGTAATCACACAGTAGAGCTTTGTCAAAATGATCTTGTTTCAAATACTCCCTTTAGAAAAAAACAACCGAAAAAATGCAGAACCAAGCTTTAGAAGAGAATATGTGTGTGGGCTTTCTGCTATAATGAAAATCTACAAATGTTTCTTTGTTATGTTTGTGAGCTGAGGTAACTATCAAAATGATCTCACTGAATTTAATTTCAGTCTTAGGTTTCTACAAACCATACTTTGAGCTTCTAAACTACAGCTGGGTCACAAGTAAATCATTTCATTCATGAGCATACACATTAAAAGTTTAGTTGCTTTTTGTTCAAATTTACTGAGTGAGATTTAGTATTTCTTTCCCTTCAAAACATTTGGAGACTTCAAAAACCTTTTCCTTGCTCAATGTACTGACCAAGTTTCTCTGCCATATCCAGTTTCAACATAGCTTGTCATACAACTAAATGTACAATGAGATTTTCCAGAATGGTTTAAACCAGAGGGAAAAACCCTTTATTCAAATATTCTATAAATGACATGTCATATGTTTCTCATATAGCGACACAATCTAGACTTTGACTTCTCCATTTCCATTAAAAAAACTGTCATTTAACCCAAAAACAAGTGGGTTTATAAAGTAAAATGTTAGCTCTGTACCACAATAACAATGTTAAACTCTTCCTCATCTACCCTGCCCTAGACTACCATACAATGGATGCATTAATGAGACAAAATTAATTTTCACAAAATTGTCCTGATATATGTTTTGACAGTAAACAGTTTAAAAAGTGTACAATGTACACTTTCTGGTGCAGTGTATTGAAAATACTTATCTAACAGGACACTTTACTTCTTTGACTTGAGTTGATTTTTTTAACATCTTTAAAGATGTATACATAATACGTAAGATTATTTTTTATGCAGTAGCTGGCAAATAGGGCCTGCAGAAAGTTTGAACAGGATTCCCAATAAATAAAACATCTTAGAGCATGAGGTATATCCTAATCTGAACTCAGTAATTTCATTCAGTGTCTGTACTACAACTCCGTAGAATCTATCAGTATTCGACGAACTGAAAATGTTTATTTTTGAAAATGTGTATATATAAGATGTGTATTGTTTAACTACAGTATATGCAGAAAACGTTCCTTCAAATTCCCAATTTAAGTAAAACCATCAGTACTTAACAAAACTAAACAAGTTGGGTGCTCCAATTTCCTCCCACAGTCCAAAAACTTTGTATTTGCTTAAGGGAATTCTGGCTTTGGGGATGAGTTTGTGCGTGTCTGTGTCTGTGTGTCAGTCCTGGACTGGTGTCCCGTCCAGAATGTACCCTGTCTTGTGCCTGCTGCTTGCCGGGACCGGCTCTGGCTCTCCCCTGTGACCCTAAATTTGAAGAAGCGATTAGAAAATGGACGGATACTGCCATCACAAATAGCGAAAGACTAAAAAGACTAAGGAATTAAAAAATATAGAATACAAAAAAATCTTGATTATCTGAGCAAATAATCAGTTCAGTTATGCAACTGAAAAGCTGATGGCTGAGGCTAAAGGATCAATAATTCTCAAGCTGGCTATCTCTGAAAGAATCACTCACAAGCAGACAGTAGCTGCAGCCCTCTGCATTTCTATTGAAGTGTCAATATTGTGATGCAGCATCTAAGTTCTGGTCTGTGTTTAAAAAGCAGTCATTCTAAATGCATTTTATACTGCACAATACATGGAAGTTCTGTCTTAAAGTATTAGTACAAAGAGAAGATTAAGTATAAAACAGACCAAAATGGCAAGACATGCATATAGAGTCTGTATGCTGACTGAAAATCCAAAAGAATTCACTGAACACGTGGAAAAATACACACAGCTCTACTGCTCCCTGATATAATAAATCCCTAACTGGAAACTTCCCCTAGGAGTTCCTCCAGAATTAATGGATTCCAAATGTTACAAATCAATGAAGAACGTAGCCATGGGTGAGAAAAGCCAATGGGAAGAAAAACATACAGTATCAATGAAATATTACTTCAAATTTAGGGATCAAACCCCAAAACATTCCGAATTATTTTTATAAAAAAACAGGCAACTAGCTTCAGCATGTACTTCTACATACATCAAAAGTCTACATACAAAAATCAGATTTTGACCTTTGCAGATCCGCACAAGTGAATAGGTCCAGTGAGTGAACACTGTAAATAAAGCCAGCTGTTGTTCCTGAAGAATGCTTAATTTACAACCCAACTAACACAACATAGCCCCTCAATGGAATGCTTGGTACGGACCCTTGAATGTTAATGTTGCTTCTGCATCAGTGTTCAGTGTTTTCAGTGTTTCCAAACTACCATAAGTCACTCTTTCACTGCAATAGGCAGGTGCATGATAGAAAAATAGCAAAGCTTACTGCTACATTTGTCATCAGGCCCTATAATTCCACTCTGAAACTATTCAAGTTTCATAGTTCACCTCAATATTAATTTGATTAATGAGCAAGATGTTTTTGGTACACAAGGTAAATTATGTTGATGACAGATACAGTGCCTTGCAAAAGTATTCAGACCCTTGACCAATTCTCTCATTTTACTGAATTAAAAATCCTAAGGTACACTGAAATTTTGTTCTCTGTGATTTTTACATTTCAAAGCACTGAAACTCAAAATTAATTGTTTTAATGTGACATTGTTTTATGTTAGAAAATCTTCTTTAAAAAATAAAAAATGAAATATGCGGTTTGCATAAGTAATCAATCCCTGTGTTGCGGAAGCTCTAAGTTTACACTGGTGAAAAACAATTGCCCTAACAAAGACAGAATTGCCTTACAATTGGCCTCTATCTATGAATCATTAAAATAACTGCCACATTTTCTGGATAAAGACCCCACAGTTAAGGGCTCATTATTCAGGTTGTGAATTTGAAGGACCTCTGTGAAAATGAAGATTTTTTTATAGTTATTTCTCTTACATGTAACTGAAAGAACAGTAAAAACATATTTTAGATAGACTGGATATATTGTAGATAGAGTGGAAGAACAGTGCTTTATGCAAATACTGCAGCAACTGCAGTATTCTGTAAGGAAGGACAAGACACCCTAGTGCGTTGTGCTACATTTTTTATTTAAAGATGTTTTATGTGTTTAGACAATTTGAACTGTTTTGTTATGTGAAGTTTTGACTTGCCTCTTGACATGCAATGAACCTTAGTCCTCATCATCAGATAGTAAAAACCAATTTTGACAGAAACGAAGAAAGAATTAATACCCCAAACAGTACTTGTATCTTGAACAAGAGTACTGTGCTGTCTCCTACTCAGAAAAATGAAGGCACAAGATTAATTTGCACATTTAGCAAGAAGAACAATATAGTAATCTCTGTCACAGGAGCCAGTTGCTAATGAGTTTTAATTTATAATGTGGTAGCAATCATTTTGCTTTATAATGAAATCTGTAAAACAGAACAAGCAAGATCTATATCCTAATATTCATACAGGAAGAAAAAGACATTTTTGTTCTTTTATAGAAATTAAAATCTTTTATGGATTTCAATTTTTTATTTTTATGGAAGTAAAAATAACTTTAGTACTTGGCCTTTTTTGGAACAAAATTAAAAGGTAACACAAACATCGGCATTCTCACGATTCAACAAAGATGCTAACCCTTCAGAGAACTGGTAAAGCCAAGTTTCATTCTGGAAAAGTATACAAGTGTCTCCTTTAGTGCTATACTGGAGCTCTTGTGTTATTTGTTTCTAGCAGATGTGGCAGAGTCAACTGTCACAATTTAATGCCATACTCCAGGATTACGAGCAATTCCTAAGGCTTGAGCAAAAGAGAATGTGAAACATGAAAGGCCGGAGGACTTCTTCTGACAAATTGTGTGTCATTTTGAAGTCAACGGTTATTACAACACTGGACCTTGAAAGTAATGTGGTTGTTTTACTTGTGAAAATATGCAGCAGGACTATGTCTTACTAATTCTTGGTTATCTACATGCAAGAACCACAAAGATTCCTTATTAAGATAAAACGGAACTAAAGCACGACATATTTAACAGTTCACTTGTGAAAACCTGAAAAAAAGTGGTGGAGGCCAACAGTGCAAATGATTTTAATGAGAAGTAGACATACTATATGCAGAGCTGCAAACAGCAGTGATGAGTGACCATAGCAGGCTGATGACATTTACAACTCTGTGAAGATCTGTGTGTTCAACAGTCTGTGGAAGATAAATAGTGTAATACAGGCAAACTACCTATTGCTTAACTCTGAGTGGCTCCTAGAAGCCATTTTTTATGTAACTCCTTGCCTCAAACATCCCTGATAGACAACCATGCCAAGGTTATGTGTGCAAAGTTTGGCTTTATTGACCATTAAGAAAATAAGCTGTTTTTTTACAAATCCTACCCAAAACCAATCAGCTTCTCGAACTTTATCTACAGTAGCTTGTAAGGTCCTGGATTAGTCCATCACCCAAGTTTCTCTGCTACAAGAAGATTCAAGGACGACTTTTTAAAATTAGTTCAAATTGGAAAAGACGTCCTCGAACCTAATACAGATAATCTGGAAAACAGAAAATCTCATAGAGATTTCTTGGGGTCCTGGCACAAAGTAATTATTACAAATATTACAAAGTATTTATTTGTAATATTACAAAGTAATATTTGTACATAAAGCAAGATACATTTTTTTGCTTCTATTACTTGAGGAAGTTTTAGAAGAAATATTAAAATATTTATACACCCATATCAGAATGCAACAAACCTAAATAATTAATTACATAGACAGAGCTGGGTAATAATGGATTACATAAACAGGCAGCAACTCATCAACCTGATAACCAATACGCATCATGACACAAACTGTAGTACAGTTTGGTTCTGTACTTAAACTGATGGACCTGCAAAATGATATAAAGTGGGACTTCACTATAATGAACTTCCTACAACTTACAAGACAGCATTAATGCTTTGTTACACCATTGCACAACTGTATTGCAAAGTATGTAACCAGTGACCTTTATTTTTGTGCTGCATCAACTTCATATTGGCTTCTACAATCGTGTTACAATGTGCAATTGTCTGTCCAATAAGAAGGATTTTAGACATTTTAGGTGGAATAAATATAAGATAAGATATAACTTTATTGTTTGTCCAAAAGGGTGGAAATTTGTCTTTGGCATCACTATGCAAAACTACAAAAAGACCAATAACACAACATAAATGAAACACACATTAAAAACAAACAATAGTCTTAGACATGCAGCAATACATACTGTATACACACATCTCACTCTGCCCATAGTACACTACCATTACACACAATCCGAAAGCTCCAGGAAACAGTCACTTAGCAGCGTTTAATATACCAATTACACAGGGAACAGAGGATTTCTTGTACACATTTTTCCTAGCCACAAGCTTTTTAAAATGCCTCCCCAAGGGCAGCAGTTGGAAATGGGAATGAAGGGGGGGGGCATTAACAATAAACTGAGCTTTCTTTTGAACTGCAATATAATACAGCTCTTATTAGCACACATTAAAAACACTTCAAAGTATTAAGGCCAAGGTATAATATAACTCTGCATTTAAGAGAAGATTAGTATATTGCTCACCAGCCTGAGGGAAAAAGAGTATAGTTTTAGGTTTTCATTACCACTGTACTCTTAATGCTAAACCAGCTGGACAGAACTAACACAGTTTCTCACAGGTCTAGATTCCAATTAATATAAAGAGACCTTGATAACCTGTAGGCACACCAATCCTTCAGAATAAGAACATTCCAGGTCTACAGACATAAAATACTATTTGAAAGAGTGTGTGATGAGAGAAGATGTATTTGTTAGTAAATCTGTACATTTTAGAAACACTGGGAGCCAATGCAGAGACACTCGCAGATTTTAGATTTTGTTTTTGCTTAAATTTGTGCTACCGAATTCTAAACATACTGCAATTTGTTAAAGGTTTATTTATGGGCGTTTTGAAAAACAATATAATACAGCAGTCTATTCAAGAAAGTCCAAAAGCATGATTTAGCTTGTCTGTATCCATTTGGGAAAGACAAGACGAGACACAAGCGGTACTACAGAGACACTTTAGTAACATTAAAAATACACTCACAATTAGGGTCAAAACAACACTTTGTTTCTTTACATCTGTGCTATGCTAGATCTCTGTTAATGAACATTATGAAAACGGATCAGTAACAAAGCTCATACATGGAACATTTCCAGCATTACCTTAGTCAGATAACATTCTGTTGTATTTTGGGACCCTCAACATTTGCGATTCCAAATTATATCAAATCCACTTACTTTATATAAATCACCTGTTAAGCTGATCAGAGTTAAACTGTTTCAGGTTATTAGAAATTTATGATTTAATTGGGTGAGTGACAGCAAGTTTGGGCAAGATGACAGCTCTGACCTGAACTACATTCCCCAGAAAGCTATTGGGAATGTCCTCCTACTTTCTGTCACCTGCCCAACTGGGAGAAAGCAACTAGTCATGTGAAACCAGGAAGTTGAAGCTTCCAAAAGAGAGAACAACAGGAGCTGTGTGGAACCAAGTCTGTTTGATGGGTATTTTGAGAGGAGTCTCAGAAAGAGACTTAGTTTTGGAGACGAATGCTTTGAGTAATGTATCAGCGAGGGACTTTGTGTGAAGCATCTTAATTGCCTGGTGACTATTAGAGATAAAAGTTGAAGTTGTTTAGCTCAAAGAGGATTTTATTTAATTGTGTGTGTTGGTGTCGTTTTCCTGCTCTGCAAAATAAATGATTGATTATTGTTGCATTTGTGTCTGTAAATTATGTAAAATAGCCTATTTAAAAGGGGTTTATGGCCACCCGTAAAAGCCTGCTGGATAGCAATTCTCCAAGGGCAACCCTAAAGTCTCCTGGTATACATTTAAGCCATAGCATAGATACATAGGATTTACCAATCAAGCATTGAGAACTTGAAATTATGTTTATGAATGCAGAATACTTACACCTACTGATCTATGAGCCTGTATGATGGTCACAGCCCAACAGTATAATGTGTTCAAAGACAAAGCAATGGTTGTGTTGTTTAGAATGTCTTGTGCAAGACTGCAAGAAGGCATCTTCGGTAACTCAAGTAGCTAAGAGGACTGATACAGGTAATGTGTAGAATGATGGAGATGTTTGGGAGCTTAGAATTATCATACAATGACATCATACATTCTTAGCTTGTTTTTTTACTAGATTAACTCTTTAAGTAACCTCATCAGTATTATGCACGCAGATAGTCAGCAGCAATGCTGGAGTTTATTCTAGGGAGCTGCAAGTAATATTACCATTTTTCAACCACTGGACCATGCAACCTGCTTCTTGTTACGCACTGTCATTAGTACTGCTGTACAGTCCCAGCTAGAATAGGAATCCTTACGTGCTTGAACACATCCTAACGTGCTTGAGTTCTCTACCAAAGCCATTTCACAATTAAAAAGGTAAGCAGGCATCATTCAATTGATTATAATTTTTGGATTTTCTACAAACCTATCTTGAAACCCATTACTGTGAATACAAAGTATTTTTAAAACTTTGCTGAGCTATTGTTGCTGAGCACTGGGAGTCAGTATGAGCAGAAATGTGTGTTGAACTCAAAAGGAGTATCTATCATGGAGTACTGGAATCTACTGTACATGCTGCAGGTTTAAATGAACATGTGAATAATTCGTCCATTCATTATTAACCGCTTCTTTCAATTAAGAGCTGAGGGTGAGCCAGAGCCTATCCCAGCAAGCAATGGGCACAAGGCAGAGTAGACCCCTGACAAGACACCTGTCACACATGAAAAATAAAACAGAAATTGTGAAATGCCACCACCTCACCTGAGGACTTTCTTATGAGGTTTGTTGGGGTCTTTGTGGTACGGCACAATGCGTGGCTGGAAGTCTTCATTTCCAGCTTCGGCCCCGTTGCTGCCTTTGGGGTTCCCTCTCTGGCTACCAGGAAACAGCCCACCGATTCTCATTTCTTCTCCACAAGGCTCGTCTGCATCGCCCTGGCTCCAGGACACCATGAGCAGGCTCAGGCTGCAGCCCAGGGAAAGCCCCAGGATCAAAGGTAGCGCAGGCCTGAATAAGGCAAGTAAGGAGGACAGACGCATGGCACACGCAGAGAAGGCTCCGAGATTGAGAGCAAACAAAAAAAAAAGTAATACAAAAAAACCCTTTTGATGTTTTCAAATAAGGGTGCTCATTAGAAAAGTCATTTAAAATAGGGGAAAAAATGAAAAATGGCAGAGGTTGACGCAATTTTTAAATATTAAAAAAATAATTTCAAGTAACAACGGTTTGTTCAGCTTCAGTCAGAACATATCTTATTGTTTTGTAGCTGTTGTTTTTGTTTCTTGTTCCATCAAAACTCGTTTATTTTGCTGGTTTTTATTAAAGACAACCGTCAGTTTCAGAGTCTTAACTTGAAGCCAACGCACAGTCGTTCTCAGATCCAGAATTTGTTCTGGAATAATGTCGAGGAAAAACAAGTTATTTGACTTCAATTATAAAACAAATCAAGTTTATTAAGTCTTTTGCTTACACTGTATGATGTTTCGACATCTAAGTAAAAGAAACCGTTGCCTTGGGCACATTCTTACTGCCAAGAAGAAACTGCAGGAAACTGCCAAGAAGAACTGAACGCAGATGTTTGGATCTAAGATTGAAATAGTTTCATCTTAGTTTTATTTTCTTACTTTCTAGCAAAATCTTCGATCATGTATTAACACGCGATTGCAAATAGCAATTTGCCTTCCGAATTGAAAAAAAAAACTAATTTTCATAAGCGCACTAACGATTTTATGACTCAACAACACTGTAGGGTTAACTAAATACATAAAATAGCGAGGACTACAGCATCGTTTTGTGACATGTTACAATGTCAATAAAAACTACGGAAATAAACAGTGTCATTTGTTTTCAAGAAACGTCAACTATCGTTATCAGTATGCGAAGTTCCCAACATCCGCCGTTATAATAAAATGACTAGTCGAGAATGTATCCAATTACCGTTGAGCACCACCGATCATTTTTATTTTGCGGTTATAACCTGTCCACTCTAACACCAATGGATACTTCGCAGAACACAACGAGTTTAACGTGTCTGCAGTAAAGCGTCTATCCATACATACAATCATTATCACCGAGAACAAAATGATTGTACATTTGTCAATAAACGATACATACGCCGTATATAAAACTAATCTTTTTCAGGACGATAAGCAAGAGTTATGCTGTTCAAGTCCAACTTATTTGCATTATATTACTTAACGAAGTCAAATAGTCTGGAACTGACAAACGAAATGCGGGAAATTGACACAGTAGCGAAATGGAAAAAAAATCTTCAGTGACGACAAATATTAAATGGCATTAAACTCCTAAAAATGGCGTGCAAAGCGTTCAAAATCCAGTTGAAAATGATACTTAAACCAGCTTTTCCGATATCCCTTAATTTGGTGTTATTGTTTAATTAATAATCCCAGCGACGAGCAGTTTCTCATCTTCCTGCATGGGGAACGATGGTTTTCAACTAAATCCAGTATTTGGTGGATGAGACATTTTTTCCACCTTTACGCTGCTCCCCTCGATTGTCTATAGAAATCCCCTGCAGAGCTGAGCGCTGCGCCTTCGCTTTACTGTTGATGCCACCTCACAAGACTGACAGCCTCGTACGCTGGCCGGGTATGTCTCTCTCCCTCACATACTTTCTCCAACAGTGTATTTTACATATGACAATAAATCCCTTTTTTGCACTTCCTCCCTGAAACCAAATCTACAAATCAGACACTTGCACGGCCTCTTAATAAAGAAAAAAAAAAACGTGCAGTTAAAGACCCGGAGGAAACAAGCTGCACAGAGAAATCGGTTCCACTATGAGTAGTACATCTGCCAAACCTTTCTTTAAAAGTCTTTCGATTCTGAAACTGTTTAATCACACAGAACTTCGTTGTTAGCATTTGTAATAAAGGAATAAAGGCATTAAAGTGGTGAAACCTTGTTAATTTCATTAACATAGTTTCTAACTGGAGTTCTTGAAGCATACTGAAAATATGCAAGTAAACAGATATTTACGTTTTCATGTTCGTTATTTGTAGATTTCTTTTCAAACGTTTTGCTGTAGGTCAGGGGAAAAGACCCCTATTCAAAACGCACCAACATCTCCGCCAAAGTTGGTGTCAGAGCAGGGTATGAATGAGTTGTGAGAATGTGCTTGAGAGGTTTTCCTTTGTCTCTGCAATCTTCCTGGATAGCATATAGAACTGTTGACCCTGTTGTTAACCCTGGCTGTATATAACACAAACGTGCATTAGAATTCTCCTAATGCAGGTAATTAAAATCCAGAGTTTTGAAAGAGCATACACTTATTACATAACCATAGCGCAAATGTCACGATTGGCATCCCGCCCCTAGAGGGTGCTCAGCTGCCCTCTCCACATCCTAAAGTAGCTAATTAGCTGGAATTCAAGCTGACACCTTTAGCCTATCTGGGTGTGCATGATTCTCACATTGTTTTGGTTACCTGTCTATTAAGCCTAGTGCTCCCTATGCTTTGGGCTCGGCATTGTCAGATGCATGCCTGGGGGGGGCAAGGCCTACTCCTAGGAGTCCCCAGCCCCCTGATGTGAAGGATGGATCTCCTGGTTCCTTGGATTTTGGACTGTATCCTGGTTGTGCTTGTGGATCTGGTATGGACTGAGTATTCCTTTGAATCATTATTCACATTATTCACCTGTACTCTGTGTCTGCACGAATAAACCCTTATGTCTGATTCAAGCCTTGATATCTGATTCAAGCCTGTTTCTGCCTAAGTTTGGTACTCCCGCCACACATAGGGTTCTACCTCCGATCACTCCATGATCTGAATTGTGACAGTAACATTCCAATTCTCCAGCGAATTTCCAAGAGCAGCAGATCAACAGTGTGGGTTTTTGGGCAAAACAGCAATATAGGGAGTCCCAGTCCCTGGGGCATAGGGCAGTCATGGATGTTAGCTCACTGAGGGGACTGTGACCCCTAAACCTAAAGAAATTAAAACATTACTGTTCAAAGATGGCTTTGATCTCTTCCAGGCATTGTGGTGCTATCATCTGGCCATGGCTCTGATGTAACACATCGACTGTAGTGTGCATGATCGACTTTCAATGCACTTCATGGCTTGTGAAGACACAAAAACTTCTGCTTAATAAATTAATTTTGGTCACTGGCCTGCCTTCACCTATGATTATCACTGAAGTGAAGTATGTTATATATGCAAGGAAACATGCCATGTCACTGGCGCAACACTATGATAAAAACATTATGGCCAATCTATCTGTATATCTGTCCTCTCCCCTAGTCAAACTCAAGCACACATTTGTGGATTCAATTATGCTGGGTACTCCTTCACTGTATCCTAAATCTCTGTCAATAAATAACTGGAGCTAAAGTAAAGTCCAGTCCCCAGAGTTGTTAGGTTTCTTAGGTGACATTCAACATCTTTGCTGTCTGGTCCTCAAAAAATCTAAAAAGATTAAATTAGTTTAAATCTTAGCATATCTTCAAATATACGTATGTACATTTCAATCAGAAAAAAAATACCGCTGCTATAGGTAATGGTTTTAAGGTTTGTTGGAAAGTTGGTGTTTTTTTCACGTGTCTTCATAACTTTGTACTGCTGTCGGCTTGGTCAGGTGTCTTTTCTGGAAGGTTTAATTTGTTCAACTCGAGGAACTACCTGGCAGAACCAAAAAAACAACAAATGTTTGACCAATTAACCACATAAAATTATCAGAATTGTTCATCAAATCTTAAACTATGTTGCTATTTATCAACTAATCATCTAATGTATCAACTCTATGCATCTTAAACAGTTTTGTTAACAGAAAGGAAGGAAATTCTGAAGAAAAAAACTAAAGAATCTTTTATAATTTCTTTGTTTTGTACAATATGCTTATATAATACAAGAACAGCACTCTTGGTATTTATCTGAAATTATAAACTTTAGTGTATAGTTATTTTAAAAAGGAATATTACCTTACGAGAACTAGTGGAATTTAAAGTAACTGATGTTCTTGATGTGGCTTTCTATTTGAAGATATTTAAATGAACAAATATTTTACTCACAACGTCTCTATATCCCTTTTCTCTGCTATTTCACTTTTCCTTGATACTATGCAAGAGCAGTACAGGTTCAGTCTGGTCTTCTAAATAAACATTGCTTCAGGGTACAATCACAGAAGACTTCTGAAGCTCAGCTCTTAGGCTTCCATACAAGAAGCAGTAATTCTTGGACCAGTCTGCACTGCAGGGAGAGAAATTTAAACACTACCGCATTTGTAAAAAATCAGTATTACACACAGTACGCTACCGATTCCTTTCCTGTTCCTGCACATGGGATATGTTTAGTCAGTGTAATCTCAAAGTGAGCATAATTAAGAGTTAACAAATAATTTGATTGTGAAATTACCATTCGTGTCAGCATGATTACATCAGCATAATCATAAAAGAACAATAATTACCTCTACTGAGGACATATTTAACTGCAACACACAACGCATGAATGCTAACCACTCAAAGCACGCTCCCCTAGAGAACCTAGTTAGCTCAATTTGCGCAACACTCAAAACTAACAGTACCACCGATGTGGTTTATGGGAATTGTAGTGAATGTATCCACTTTATCACGCTAGTTTGCCTTCGAGTAAAACTACAACTCCCAGCGTTCCCTGATCAGGGCGGCGCTTGGCTCCTAACCGCCCTTGTCCAAATAAGGTCCAGTGCCTGATTCGGCAGTGAGCCGGTGTTGTGGGGGCGCGCAGGACCGCCGGTGATCGGAGAGAAGGTAAGGAATGAAATGCGTTGCTTTTAAAAAGAGGGGTTTTGGGGGGCAGGTAAGAATAAGGTTTAAGCCCCGATGGGCAGATGTTGGCTCGGTTGTGAGTGGAGAGCGGAGTTCGGTCGGTGGGAGTGGATGGTTTTGGTACTTATCCTGCGCGGATGACTAATCGGCGTCGCTCTGCTTGAGCACGATGCGGCGCTTGGACACGAGTTTGGCGATCACGGATAAACCGGGTTCCGGTGGATAAAAAACGCGAGTTCGGTGATAACGGCTAATCCCGATCATGTGGATAGAAAACAGATCGGTGTCTTTACATCTGGCACCTTGACGCGTTGTTCGTCACGGCGAGGTAGGTTCGTGGCTTGAGATATGATCCAGGGTTTAGTAACGAGGGCATCTTACTCTTGGGCCTAGTTTTCCGGATAACCGGCTTTTTGCGTGCTGGGTTTAAAGCGGGGATTCATGCTTTGCCACGACTCTCTTAGTCGCAGATTTGTATTATGACAACGGCGGGTTTTAAATGAGAATTTAAAAAGACATCTCTACCGACAGATAAACGCTACGCAAGCTTGAGGCCCAGGGAGCAGAAACGGTGATTTTTCTTTACGGCGCCGTGGGGGGAAAAGTGCAAGGGGGAGCCGCTCTCCGGTTTTGCAGGCGGCACGGATCTCGTGTCGGCTCGTGTTTCCCTCGGGCCCTTTCCTCTTGCCCTTTCCACTATCTTTGTTTTTTCAAATAAACGATCAGATGCCGGTTGTGTGTGGTTGCAGTACTGGAGAGAGAGAGGAGTAACACGGGGTAGGGGTTATCTCCCGGCGGCTCAGACAAGAGGGACCCCGGCAGGAGTGCGGGGACCGGCCTTCCTGTGTGATGCCAGGGCAGACGAGAGACTACCTGGCGGCTCGTTAGTATAGCCAGTTTAATTGACTTTGTACCGTAGGGGGTGTTGAGTTCCTCTCTTTTTCTTTTTGACGTTGATGTATTTGAGTCAGTGGAATATCTCGCGTCCAAGTCTTTGAGAAATGGGTAGGGGGGGGTGGCGAGCACGTGTTTGTGCCTTTGTCTGATGTCGTCATCATCAGGTTTTCTTTCACAGGCTCTCTGACGGCGAGGCCTGTGCTCGCTTGTGAACACGGAGCCTTGGATACGAGCAAATACGTATAATTGTGTTAGGTGTGTCTAAGATGCAGACTGGTACACATCAAGCTTCCCAAGTACAGTTCTCATGTTGCATATCAGTTCAAACATCCTAGTGAAGTGGTACAGCGTATCCACACATGAGCCCCAAGCCTTTCTGGCTTCTGTTCAGTGTCGTCTCTTTTGCGAACAGTCAGTTCAGTTTCCTGCATGTATAAAATGTTGAAGTATTTTTATTGGCACCTCAGGTTTTCCACAATAGGTAGGAGTTTTGGCCCATGAAGCTCACTTTGGTTCAGTTTCCCTGTCGTTCCATAGATGTATTAGGAACAAATTTTTCTAGCATAAACACAATATAGAATAGGCAGTCATACCTAATTAGTCTCCAAGGAAACCAGACAAAATATGCAGATCCATATGTAAGTGCAACATGCAAACTCCACACGGTTAGGCACTCCAGTTGATAATAGCACCCTGGAGCTTTGAAGTAATAGTGATACACACAGTTCCCTAACTGTGTTTTATGTTGTACATGTAAATCTAATGTCTAGTCTTGGATATGACAAGATTTCGCATTGTCCCTTAATGTCGTTCTAGGATCAGTTGAGAGAAATAACAAGATCACTTGAAACTTGAGGATTCCTTTTTATTATCAAAAATGGCCTTGCAATGAATAAGCAAGTGTTGTCGGTCCCGTGTGGCTTATTTTAAAGTATTCATTTATATCATACATCTATTTATTGTATCAAGTTCCCCCATGACTCATGACCTCATGATCAGTCAAGTATTTAAAATCTTCTAAGGCACAAATAGTCAACCTGGTGTTTTTCTTTAAAACAAACAGTGCAGCACAAATGGAAACTATGGAAGTTGATTTAAAACTGAGAAAATGAGGCGCATCTTTACCCAAAGGGTTGTGGGGGTACGGAACAAACTATGTATTCAAATAGTTGAAGTTGACACTATGGTTTCCTTTAAGAAATGTCTGTATGAGATCCTTGGGTTAATTACCTACTGTCAGAAGTGTCAGATGATGGATATATTACTCTTGGGTTAAATTCTGCTTTAATGGGTGAATATGATGTTGAGTGCGGGAGAACAGGTATTTACCCCCGTCCCCTGTAGTATTCCGTGTACTGACCAGGGACTGCTTCCGATGCACACACCAAATCCCACCAACAAACTTAGGTTCTCGTTCTGTCCTCCCCCACTGTAGGCTGCTTTCTTCCCAGTGGATTGTCCCCGAGGCCTGCAACCATGCCGTCCGATCTGGCCAAGAAGAAGGCAGCCAAGAAGAAGGAGGCAGCCAAGGCTCGGCAGCGTTCCAAGAAGGTGAACGAGGCGAACGGGGAGGAGAGCGAGGAGAGGCTGGAGAGCCCAGAGAGCCAGGAGAACGGGGTGGAAGACAATGGTGAGAAGCAGTGGGTGATGGTGCGCCTGTGATGTGTGCAGCTCTCTCCTTGCGCCTGCGGGGGTTTCGAACCCGGACACTCGCAGGCTGCGGGGACGCCCAGCGCCACTCCCAACATGGCAGATAACTCCGCCATGCATGAAGACCAGCTCCTCTGGCATGGCAGAGTTCTGCACTGTGTAAATTGAGGATGCGAGGTGATGTCCCTGCTGTAACCTGCTCAGTGCTCTGAGCCCTGGTGCCCATTCACAGCTTCCAGTTCCTGTACATGCAGTGTTATTTACTCAGGCTCTTACAGTTTTGGTCATAGAGCCATGACTGTTTTAGGAAATGGTCACAGCAGTGCAGTGTGCACCAGAGGCAAAGTCCTCAGTCATGTGGGAATGCTATTTTAGTATAAGGCCTACAATGGAGGATTTGGTCTTACTGATTCTGTTTTTTCCCCTTGTTTATTGTAATAACTCATTCACTGCCAAACTACATTTTTTTTTGTATGACTGAAATTCACTGGCTTATTATCAAACTTAATTGGGAACCAAAGAAAAGATTAGAAGAAGAATAACGGACATAGCGCAAGCTTGTGTTCTCCCCTCGACCATCCACAACGCACTTTCCCCTGGGTAGGAGACCAAATGAAACTTCTCACACTTAAGAAATTATCGCAGTCCAAATAAGAACATGAAATACAAAGTACTGAATATGTTCATGCATTAAATGTCTCACAGCGGGGTTTTTTTCCCCCTTTGCTGTAGAAGTGGCACAGCTGACCAAGGAAATTGACGAGTTTGAGCTGAAGAAGACTGCGGCTCGAGCCGTGACCGGTGTGCTGGCTTCCCACCCCAACAGCACGGATGTGCATATCATCAACCTGTCCCTGACGTTCCACGGGCAGGAGCTGCTGAGCGACACCAGCCTCGAGCTGAACTCCGGCAGGCGTTACGGCCTCATCGGGCTTAACGGCACAGGTAGAGGGAGGGGTTGGGTTCCGGGATGTGTGGGTTTCAGATGAGTTTATGCCGAGGCAACGCGGTACTGATCTGTTTATAACGTGCATTTTTTGAGTTATGGGTAGTCAGTGCTGCTGTTTGGTTTTCAAAACTGGAGAACTGAGCTCAGAGCGTTCATAATTCTCCATAATTTCGCTTAAATCTCTGGTTGCAGTTGAGCAAATTGTAACTTAGGTATACATAATTTGCTCTAGCTTTGTATGTTTAACTTGGATTTACGAGCAGTGTTTTACTGTAGGCTACAGTCTCCATATAAAAGACAGGTTATATCTCTCCTTCTGATATATAATCTGGACTTTTCTGGAAAATAGCAGTTGACGGTTTTCAAATTTTTTTCCATGGAAACAAAAAGGGCTGTATTCCTTAGACCTCATTTATGGCTCCAAAGATGCCAAAATGAAAAATTTCAACCAAGACTGTTATAAAAACATAGTTGACATTTAGTTGCATAAAAAACTACTTAATGATGCTGGATGTGATCATTGAATCAAACTACCAGCTATCAGAGGGGCCCAACAGCCTCTTGTTTGTAACCTTTTTAGTGGGTCTGTTTCCTAAGAACATTAGGAAGTGGGGAGACATTGGGGCAGAAACCCTTTTTATACACTTATTTATACAAGTCTAATGGGCTAAGAGATTTCCTATCTCGGTCTACTCAGTCTGCTTGTCTCTTCGGGCCCATACATCATTATGCATTTCTCAGTGTATGTTTCTCCTTGGTTGTTGATAATTTGCATAAATGTGAGACAGTTATGTAAAATGTGTGAGAAAGGAGAGTTTACCATTATAATGATGAAAGATAGATTTTTCCACTGTACAGCTGTAATGTTGTAAACTTTGAATGAGCTCTTGCACTTTCAGATTTTGTGTAGCAGTGGACTGTACATGCTACTTATTTATAATAAGCGAAGGGGGGTTTTGTTGAAAAATATCTTCCTTTGGCAGGGAAGTCTATGCTACTGTCTGCAATTGGCCATCGTGAAGTACCGATCCCTGAGCACATCGATATTTACCATCTCACTCGCGAGATGGCTCCCAGTGACAAGACAGCACTGCAGTGTGTGATGGAGGTAGATGAAGAGAGGATTGCTTTGGAGAAAGAAGCAGAGAGGCTAGCACATGAAGATGGTGAGTTCCAGACACGACACTTTCTCCATCACGCGTCATTCTCACTCTTGGAAGTTCATGTTTCAGGAATTCTTAAGATTAAGTGTCTAGTTTGCCAATCCACTGTCTTTCAGTTAGTAGGTGTTAATTGGTTTGCTGGGCAGGTTAGACTTGGACTCTTAACGCCAATGTTCATGTGGTTAAATTGTAACATTCTATTTAGGTAAAGGAAAAAAACCTTTTGTATACCTTTGTGGGTCCTGTACTTGAAAGTCAAATGTAGTTTCAGGTGTACCTTTTCCCTTAGGGGTATCCTTCTAGGGTCGGTTATAGTTATTGGTTAGTTTTGCAAAATGCAGTTTTGAAAAGTTTCATACCTTGTTTTTTTCCTTGGTTTTGGGGTTAAAATCTAGGATTGTATAAGTGACATGTCAAGGACCTTGTAATTGAATTATGGGATTTGTTTTCACATAATGGAAAATCCCTTGGATTGTCTCAGAACAAAGTTTATGCAGAACATGCCAGTGATGGTTTATACAAGATGTACAAGCGATCAGTGTCTCATCAGTCAAGTTGGTATTTCCAAAGCCTGTGAAAGCTTATTGAGAGCTTTAAAGCCCCAGATCTATGGTATGGTGTTACTCCCAGTATTTTTTTTTTTTACCCTTTACCATATGTTATTTTAGGAAATTCATGCTTGTCTTATCTGAAGCATTCTTCCATCTAATTAGAGGGACCTCAGCTTATTTTGAATCTTGCACATAGAAATGTAAAACTCATAAGTGCTTGATTAAAATATGTACTATGTGGACATCTTTATACAGTGCCCTGAAATTGTATTCACAACTGCAGTGATGTGTACAGTTTTTAACTTATTGCCCACAAGCAGAAGCCATTCTACTAAGGTTACTTTGACATGTTTTGTGCTCCTGAACTAAATTTAAGGTAACTTTTTTTACCTTAAGCTTCACCCTTGAAAGTGTTCGGTTTAAACATTAATTTGTAATATTTGCTTTAAAAACTGGAGATCTATGATATCGGTTACCCCTTTGGCGTTCACAAGATTCTGATCGATTTTGTCAGCCCTATACGATGGATGTTCAATGGGAGTTGCAGGATCAGGACTCTCCTGGGAAGCATCTTGCAAGATATTTCTGTAATTTGATTTGATGATTTTCATCCATGCTGAAAAGAGAAAGTTTGGGCTGTGGAGCCTTCTTCAGGTATCGCAGCCAAAACATTTTCTTTTCTTCTCTTTTTAGCATGGAATAAATCTTTACTTGATCCTTTGCGTTTCTGTCAGTCATTTTTGGCTGTGCCCCAGCGGACAGCTGATGGTGGCTTGCCGGATCGGACCCGGTTTTAATTCCTGGGCGGGTGTTGGTTAGCACTTTGGTGTGCAGGCTTCGCTCACGGGTCTGTTCTTTCTTCCTCCAGCGGAGTGTGAGAAACTGATGGAGCTGTACGAGCGGTTAGAAGAGCTGGACGCTGACAAGGCGGAGGTGAGGGCCTCCCGTATCCTCCACGGCCTGGGCTTTACCCCCGCAATGCAGAGGAAGAAGCTGAAGGACTTCAGCGGGGGGTGGCGGATGCGTGTCGCTCTGGCCAGGTAAGGGAAAGTGGGCTTTACTCAGGTTTTTGTGTATAATTTGCAAAAACATTCATTATTGCAGTTTTTATGAGCACTAAAAATGTGCCAGCAGCTATGTCACCCCGCATCTCACAACTGGCAGCCCAGTGAAGCTCAGCAGGTGTGAGCCTGGTCAGTACCTGGATGGGAGACCTCCTGGGAAAAACGTAGGTTGCTGCTGGATGAGGCATTAGTGGTGCCAGCAGGGGGTGCCCACCCTGTAGTCTGTGTGGGTTCTAATGCCCCAATGTAGTGATGGGGGCACTATACTGTAAAAAAAAAAAAAAAGGCACCATCCTTCGGATGAGACCTAAAGCTGAAGTCCTGACTTTCTGTGGTCAGGGTGTTTTTTGAAAAGAGTAGAGTCCTGATGTCCTGACCAAATTTCCTATTGGCCTTTATAATCCCCATCTATGAATTGGCTTCATCACTCTGTTCTCCTCCACACCGATAGCTGATGTGTGGTGAGAGTAGTGGTGCGCAATAGCTGCTGTCGCATCATCCAGGTGGGGGGTGCACATTGGTGAAGGAGAGAAGTCCCCATTACCTGTAGAGAATTTCGAGTGTTCAGAAAAGCATTATAGAAATGTAAGGATATTATTCATATAAAAATCTGCACCCAGATAACTTCTGCAGTGCTGTGTAGAATACTAGAGCTATGTGAATGTCGTACAGATCTGCTGTGGGATGATGTTAACAAAAGGCCGAATGACAGTGCTGCTGCCCAGCAGTATGTTCACAGCGCAGCGGCACAATGACAAAAATGTACCGAAGCGTTCTATCTGATCCACTGGCAGGGTCTGTACAGATGTGTAGATTTAATGTGAATTTTTTTCTGTACCGACAGCTCTAAACGTCACATGGCTTCACTGCCTCATTCTTTCATTTTGCCGAACCTTTTCAGCGTGCATCCTGACAGGCCTCAGAACAGTGAGATTTTAAACTAAGCTGCTGCTTCTTCTTTCCCAGAGCTCTATTTATAAAACCGTTCATGTTGTTGCTGGATGAGCCCACAAACCATCTGGACCTGGATGCTTGTGTGTGGCTGGAGGAGGAGCTGAGTTCGTAAGTGCCTGTTCATTTTTTAGTAGGGGGGTTGTACTGCACTTTTTCCTTACAAGGTCTTTAAATACAGTTTGGGGACTCTGTATAGCCGAGTTTGTCCCTGTTGTACTGAAATGAGATGGTTTGGGTTACAACAACTGTGTTACCATGCTGTAGCCTGAGCAAGACTGGAACTGGTCAGTAGTATTAAGATGGGAGACCATTAAGCAAAGTCAGACTGCTGCTTTGAATATATGTGGACCAGTAGATGGCACTCTTCTCCTCTGGTCCAGACTTTTCACATCTGCCCCGTTACTGTAACGGGAGACACGACTGAAGGTGCTATTCCTCAGTTGAGACACTAGACCATGATCCTGATGTCTCTTGTGTGTGAGGTTGGGTATTAAGAGTGGTGTCCTGGTTTACTTCTACTCTATTCCTAACCATAGTTCTGTCAACTGCTACATAACCATTCAGCTATGTATTAGTTCACTCCCCGACATGTAGTGAAGGTACTGCATAGGAGTTTTATGTATAATAAATTCCTTCTGCATGTCATTCAGATGGCTGCCGCACATCACTGGGGATCTCCCCCATATCCTGTACTTAAAGGTCTTTGGAATACAATGCTATAAGTGGAGAACATTCAACATCTTTTTTTTTGGGGGGGGGGGATTCATTAAAATTTAACATGTAATCAAACCTCTGAGTGGAATTCTCCCTTGTGAACCTAATCTTAATTTTCAGTTTGAAATTGCTTTCTTCAATATTTAAAAATTCTGCAGTTGGTATCATACTTTTCTAATGTTTTCCACGTCAGAATATACACCTACTTAAAATACATGGCAGTAAAGTTATAATTTCATATTGTTAACCGTTTCCCTGCAGGTTTAAACGAATTCTAGTGCTGATTTCCCACTCGCAGGACTTCCTTAATGGGGTGTGCACAAACATTATTCATCTGCATCAAAGAAAACTCAAATACTACACGGTAGGCCTTTAGTTTGTCTATGGAAATTGCTAAAAGACCTCATGAAGTATACATGTTATTTTATTGAAGCTTAAGTGTGCAAGACCTAACAGTTGGTTTAAACTAGAAATAGTACATTGTAACTTGTTTGACTGTCAACAATATAACTGACAAAATATTTCCTTATTTTATTTAAATATTTGACCCTAGTCCTTTATTCCCATTTTATATTTGTTTTAATATATAAGCGGAATATTCCGTCTAAAATGTTTAGTTTTTTGGAATTGATGCTTTTGTTTAAGAATCAAACAAATGTCGGGTTAATTCTTAATTTGGTACTAGAATCTTTGATGCCCCAAGCAGGTTTGTGTAACTAGACTACTTATAACCATCTGTTTTTATTTTAGGGTAACTACGATCAGTATGTGAAGACCAGGCTGGAACTGGAAGAGAATCAGATGAAACGTTATAACTGGGAGCAAGACCAGATCGCACACATGAAGGTAAACATTACTACAAATATCCACAAGATGGCACTTTCCCAGTGACCTGCTGTTGGGAGTGTGTGATTAATGAGACTGCCTAGGACTTGCACCAGAGATCTCTGTTCACAGTCAGAATAGGGTAACACTTTAGTTTGAGCAGCCCCAGCCATGTTTACAGCTTTACACCATGTACATGTTGCACAATGAGTAATTTTGTTTGACAGTTGACTAATATTAAAATGACCAGAGTCATTAGGTCCCCCACCTTAGGTTTTGACCAGTGCAGAAATGAAACATGCTCATGTAAAGCTTAAACTCTCTTTGCAGCTGCATCTATTTTATTGCAGTACCTTAAAATCTATGCATTTATCACTGCATAATTGGTTAGAACTAAGTGAATTTGAAATGTGAGATTTGGGAAAGGGTCTGGTTTTTGGGTCAGTCATTATTGCAAGATTTAAAGGCTTTGGTCGTTTTTCTGGGTTGTAGTCTTTGAACAGTCTTGCCTACAACTTTTTTTTCCCTTCATATTGTCCAGCTTTGGCCAGCACATCTTCATGATCTTAAGTGAGTCTTCTGTGCCCTTTGCAGAACTACATTGCACGGTTTGGTCATGGCTCTGCCAAGCTGGCTAGACAGGCCCAGAGTAAAGAGAAGACCCTGCAGAAGATGGTGGCGTCAGGACTGACAGAACGTGTCGTAAATGACAAGGTATTTCAGCAATGTATCTACAGACTTCAACACAATGAAAAGCTGGGGAATCCTGTGAGTTTATATTGAGAGATTTCAGTTATTTTAGGTTGAGTTTTTTTTCTTAACACTTGGTATAATACCCAACCCAGACATCTTTGGAAAGTGACTGTTTTAAACTTCATTTACATAAAAGTAAATATCCCATTGTTTCAAAGGATGAACCCCCTCCTCCTATGTTACCTTATAGGCAGTGCATGACCAAGGACACAGCAGTGACATGATGTTAACAAAAGGCCGAATTATAGCACTGCTGCCCAGCAGTTTGTTCTCAGTGCAGCAGTGCAGTGACAAAAAAATCGACCGAAGCGTTTTATCTGATCCGCTGACCTGTGTCCCTTGAGTCCTTTTTAAAACCCCCCAGGAAGAGAAGACGGTTTTGCATTTTCTCCTGCTTGGTGTCCCATATATTTGTAATTGTTTTTTTTATTTTTATTTTGTAGACCCTGTCATTTTATTTTCCTCCCTGTGGGAAGATTCCTCCTCCAGTTATTATGGTTCAGAATGTTAGCTTTAAATACTCGGATGATGGGGTAAGTTTTCCCTTTTTCTCCGCAGCCTTACTTAAAAGGGCAATATTTGCAAAATGAGCCTGGAGCCTTTAAATAAAAAGACAATGATTGTCTGTTTCCTGCAGTAACATGCTTGAGCTTTGTCCCTTGTATATAAATGAATCCCTGTAGCAGGGGTGTCCAATCCAGGTCTCAGAAGGTCAGTGTTTGAAGGTTTTCTGGGTGTCTTCAAAGCATTGGTGTCTGAAGAGTTTTTGGGGTTTCACAGTGCGAGGCAGGAGAAATGCCCCCTGCATTTAGGCATCATTAAAGCCTTAATTTTGGCTGCCTCTGCCAAAGAGGCATCACTGAATTATTTTGTCATTTATATGTATTTCCTGAAGCTGAGCTCCAGTTAACCAGCTGCTTACTTGGCAATGTTAAATTTTGAAACTGATTTATTGTTAAAGCTGTTTCTACACTTATTGTTGCAGCCACACATCTACAAGAACCTTGAGTTTGGTATTGACTTGGACACACGGGTTGCTCTGGTAGGGCCTAATGGAGCTGGAAAGTCTACACTGCTGAAGCTGCTAACGGGAGAGGTAGGTTAAGGTATTTTAAGGCACTTCTGTAAGAAAACGACAAATATAAAAGTTTTTTTCTAGAATACATTTCTTAAAATGCGTTTTTGTATATGGTAATTGAGGTATTTTGTGTGGTTAACAAGCTCTTTTCCCATTTATGAAAAGTTGTTTTTCATAGAGAAAAATAAAAAAAACATTCTTTGTTTTTTCAAGGAATATAGCCTTGTTTACTTAAAGGTTCAACTATATTTTTTTGGATTTAATTAATTTTAAATTTGGCTAATTTTGTTTTGCTTATTAGATGGTGTTGATAACACTGAACATTACTGTAGATGCTGAAAATTGGCCAGGAAGGCCAATAGGAAGGATCCTATACAGTATGTTAAGTGAAGATTTTTGTAGGGGAAAAGAAGTTAAGATGCATTCAAATTGTATTGCAAATGAAGAAATGTTACAACTTTTTTTGATTCTTTTTGCAGCTTCTTCCAACTGATGGCATGATCAGGAAACATTCTCATGTTAAGATTGGAAGATATCACCAGGTATGTTTCCCACAGCTGCATATAAATACAAATGCTGATTAGATAAGAACCTTATTATATGGGACTTGACATTTATTCACAGGTTATGCAATTTTAAATGGATTTCCTTGTGTATATAGTTTTTGACTAAATTAAAGTCACTTTTAACCTTGATGTAACTTTTTCCTTGAAGAGTAAGTTGTTTTTATTTGTGGTGTGTTTAGTAGTTTCAGGACTTGCATGTAGATTGAGTGCTGCTTTCTGTGTGTTCATAGCATTTAACAGAGCAGCTGGATCTTGACCTGTCTCCTCTGGAGTACATGATGAAATGCTACCCAGAGATCAAAGAGAAAGAGGAGATGAGAAAAATCATTGGTCGATATGGACTGACTGGTAAACAGCAGGTAAGTCTAGCATTATTCACAGAAGTCTACAAGGGATATTGTACTGAGCATACAAAAACATGTACTGCAGTATAAAGGAGAACTAGTTGAGACGTCGAATCTACATATGCAGCTTTGTGAGATGGATCTGCTTCCACATTGGACAAAACCAGATATTGGGCCTATTAGTTTGTTACTTCACATAATTGTAAGGTTGGAATTGTGAATTTGACTAGCACTGAATATTTTTTAGCAGTTTGATAATGTATCACAATGGTGGTTTAAAGCTTGTTCTAACAAAGCACTGTTATGTGGAAAGTTTAAACTTTTTTGTTTCTGATGTAAGGCCCTGTAGATTTAACCAATGGTATTTTAAACACCTTTACGTGCAGTAACCTGCAATATACAATGTGCAGTGTTTGAATATCACAAACCTCATTAAAATGGCGTATCAAAACCTCTTAATACTTGTTAGATTTAATAAAATCACTAGCTAAACACTTCTGCATATACTTATTAGCTGTAGTATAATGATATACTTATTCCTTGCCAGTTAGAAGGTGCATAGGCGCTGCCCAGTTTCAACACCTTTCTGGAGGAACATCATAAATGATGAAAATTATAGGTAGAATGTTCAGTTTTATAGTTTGAAGCAGTGAACAGACTTCAGTTTTAATTCAGAAAACAGTTGACCAAGTAATCGTAAATGTGAACGTGTACGTCTTTGCAGAAGGACCCTTTTCATTCTGGGTCCTTGCTGTTACTGTATTCTGGCTACTTGTATTCCTTTAGTTTTGGAAGGGGGAATAGGGCGCTCCAAGGGTTTTGGCAATTTTCACATTAAGCCAGGCTCAAGTAAAGTGGAATGTGCACTCCATGCCCTTGCAAGCATTTGCATTCTGATTTACTTTTTAATTCCTGTGGTTTGCTTTGCCTACATTTTCACTCCACTACCGCACTATAGCTGCCTCTCTTCACAGCAGGCAGTTCATCTCCTCAGATCCGGTCCTTAACTTTTGACTCGGATTCCACTTCTACACTACAAACCAGTAGTAGAACCTTTGCATCCCTTTCCCAGTTCTAAAGTATCCCTCTGCCTCCTGGGATTTTTCTATTAAAGCTATTTTACCAGTTGCATAAGTAAAACTTCACTTCCATTGCTAATTCAGTTTCTCTTCAAATTTATTTCTTTTCCAATACTTTCTAACAGCTTCTAACTGGCTACTGGTTTGCAATGTGTTGAAACAGGTGGGAGTGACCATCGTATAGTGATCATTTGCAGTGATGTTAATACTACCTGGTCATTTTAATCTGTAATGTGGAATATTAGATGCTACATCCCTTAGTATCTTGTAGCGTTAATTCATAGTAGTTTTGAACCGTGTCCTGCTATATACGACCTGAAACTATTGGAGGTTTAATGAGCCTAAAAAGTGCTGAAATGAACTGGGTTTTTCTCATGTCAAAATTTTAATCTAGGAATATTATCTTTCTGAAAACAAACAAAAACAAATTGTGTGGGGTTATGCACTGAAAAACAACACTGAGCCTGGAGGTTTTTCTGTTCGATGTTCAGAGTGGTACTTGAACATCACTACAGTCACATGTAAAATCTGTAAAAATGAATGACATTACACTATTTTACATAGTGCTGGAAGCATGAAAGGAGTATACTAGCTTAAAAAACTGCAAAGCCTTTCACACCCCGCCCTGAAGCACGTTTCACTACATACTTGATGTACAAAGTAATTTCATATGACCTGATTGCCAGACAACGTAGTTAATCTCCAACAATGAGAAACATTTTAAACATTTTATTGGAAATAAAATAAATTAAAGAAAAAGGGTCATGGGTACTCACTAGATAAGGCTCTGTTCCCTTTTTTTGCATGCACACTGGCTCTTTCAAAGACCTGCTCAATGTGTTACCTTGACTGCAATGGTTTCTGTTTCAACTTTTAATAAAATGTTGAATTTTCAGCTACAAATGCCCTTTCTTGTTAAAACAATATCAGAATATTTTTATGTACAAAATAACAGGATGGTCACGAATGGGGAAATTTTATTCCATCATGCTTATTTTAGGTCCGTTTGTCTACAGTCTTGCGGTGGGCAACCTTTAGAACTGGACAACGTAGAGAACCCAACCTAAGTTATAATGCTATGGGAGGAGGGTGCAAATTGACACAAATGTCTGGGGAACATTTTGACAGATAACCCTGAAAGTGAAAACGGAGCCCTGCTACTGTAAGACAGTGTAGTACTAGTAACCATGCCAGCCCCCCCTTTTTTAGTATTGCTGATGTCTATCGATTTGAGGAACATACTGCATAGCAAAAGATCTTTTTATACAGATGTATACAGATGACAAACTGGAAAATCAAGTGTTTAAACTAGTCGATTCGGTTTCTAACCCAAGACTCCACTAAGATGCCATGCTAGTTTATCACCTCTTGCCTGCATGACCTGATTTTTTGTTTCCCTCCTTCCTTTGTCACCAGGTGAGCCCCATCAGAAATCTCTCTGATGGTCAGAAGTGTCGGGTTTGCTTTGCCTGGCTGGCCTGGCAAAACCCTCACATGCTCTTCCTTGACGAGCCTACCAATCATCTCGACATTGAGACAATTGACGCGCTGGCGGAAGCCATCAATGAATACGAAGGAGGAATGATGCTGGTTAGCCACGACTTCAGGCTGATACAGCAGGTGAGCAGCACGACTGAACTCTCCCTGCACTGCAGGACCATCCACACCTACAGAAAGAGCTGATGTTCGTGTTTTACAGAGCAGCCAGTAATTTGGGTTCCGTGCAAAGAGCTGAAAGTCATTCGCAGATTAAATGCTACATTATTAAAAGAGGCACTACTTTCATCTATGCCTCTAGGCTTTATGTGGGCTTTTTATTTTTAGTTGCTGCGAATTGTATTGGTGTCGTTTCTTTATTAAATATACTAATTGCTATTTCAAAGTGTCATGACTGCAAGCATTAAAGCAACAAATTAAAAACGGCAGAAGGGTCAATACAGTTTTGCAAGGTATTGTAAGTTGAGCTACCGGATATGAAAATCATTCTATTATGGACCTGCAGATATTCCCATATTCTCTCAACACTAGTGTTTGGAATCCTGTTACACTGCATTTAAACTTGGAATAACAACCATGAATCATTAACCAAATTTGTATGAAATTAAAATGGTTTCTGTTCTCCACTAGGTGGCTCAGGAAATCTGGGTTTGTGAGAAGCAGACGATTACAAAATGGAACAGGGACATCTTGGCGTACAAGGAGCATTTGAAATCCAAAATAGACAAACAGGCACATGACATCTAAGCACTTCCCAGAGGTGATCTTCTGGATTAATTGTGGATCCCATCTTTACCATGGCCATGTTTAAAAGCATGTTGACACAGCACAAAGGCTCCCTCATTCTTCCTCCCAGTTCGTGCTGCTTTGAAAGTCCCTGGTAGCTTGAAAGGTCAGCCGACCAGCAGTAGTTGAGGACTGCATCCAGTGTACAGTCACAGTAGACATTAACTTGGCTTCCCAAATAAATTGTTTCAAAGTGGTAACAGTATGTGCACTTGAGAATTCTATTTTTTATTTCATGTCCGTATCTGCAACAATACAGATTGGACGTTGTAACCTCTATTGAGATTGGCATTTTATGTTCCCTTTTATTTGTCGTTTATTTAACTCATCTGCAATAAAGGATTGTCTGAAGAAATCAATGAAAGTATTTTTTTTGGGGTGTAGATATGTATGAGTGAGTGATAGTGTGGAGTGAAATCTGTTCTCCTTTATGAAGAATGTATACTGATAGGGGAAAAAAGAAATGTGACATTTTCTGGAATGAGAATACTATAGTTATAGCTTATGTACTTTAACACGAAGTTGTTAATTTGTTTTAAGCCCTCTGACCAGCAATACAGTTTGTGCAGTGAGGCGTTGCAACTTGCCAATCACAGGAAAGCTCGTTAGGTGCACTT